AAAAAATGAATAATTTTTTAACTAAAAAAAATAGAAATATCAGAACAATTACGAACCTATTTTGTTTTTAAGCGTTATAGCATTTTCCCTTTTAAAAAAAAAATTAGTCTCTCACTTTCCTGCATAAAATGTTCTTCTAGCAAAAATTGGATAAGATAATAGATTATATTAATCACATTTATAACAGACATCAAACCCATAGCAACAATCAAGAGGAGCTCGAAACCAATGTTCTTCAATAAAGCATAAATAAAAAGAGAAGTGCACATCAAAAATTCTTCATTATGAGTATTAAACAAAATTATTCAAGAAATTAATAAAAACATATTGTTAAACAAACTGATTTTCTAAATCAAATTAGAAAATAGAACTGTTTTGGAATTTCTCTAATTTAATATTTTACTCTTTTTTTTTTCTTTTTTTTTTAAGACAGAGTGNTTTTTGGTACAATGCAATAAACTGCACCAAAACTTTAAAAAAAAAAAAAAAAGAGCACAGAGGATCTGTTCTGTCTTTCTATTATCCTTTATTTAGTTCCCCAAACCTTTAACTAGTCTTAATAAATATATTACAGATATATATAATTTGCGTTTTCATGTAATCAAGATCATTTTGATAAGAAGATCATTTTCATCATTTGATTACAGATTTGATTTTGATTACAGATCATTTGATCATATAGACACACTAATTATAAAAAATAATTAAGAAGCTAACTCTTAAGAAAAATTTGGTGATTGTTGCTTAATTTGATGCATTATTAAAGTGGCAGTTCCCTTATGTATGATTTATACTTTCAAGCGAATACAATTTTATCGATTCCTCCTACATAATATTTTTTGCCATTAATGCAATTTTAACTTGAGTTGTTTGCATTAATTTTTACCCATTGGTCAAAAAAAATTGGGTCCCATAAATTATAATATCTACCGTAACCGGGGCGAGTCTACCCATTTTTTCAGTTTGTCAACTTTCAAGTGGTCATACTTATGTAAATATTAAAGAAAAAAGGCTTTTAATAGGTGTTTCGGAATCGCTATTTATCCCTCTTTAAAGCTGTGAAATCGATTTTAGAAAATATTAACAGTTACGCTGTTACTGTATATTTTTATAGAACTGCTGACAAATCTCTCGTATGGGGCGAGTCTACCCATTCTACTAAAATGAATGTTAACATTGTAAATAATCAAATTTTACTATTAAATTGTTATTTTAGTTACTATATAGGATATTTATGAAGTAAAATTCATAACTTTATTATATATTCCATTTTTTTATTCATAAAATAACACAAATTGAGTATTTGATCGATTATCACATTTTGATCACAGTTTTGTTTTTATAATCATTAACATTATAAAATAACATTTTTTTCTGATTATTGTTGATAAAAATAAATTAAAATTAATATAAATTTACAATTAAATAATTAATAAATAATAATAATTAAAGATTATTAACAAAATCGAAATTCAAACATTGGGAATCATGAAAAATCCTTTTCCCATTCTTTTGGGAGGTAATAATAATTTATAAATAATAATTTATTTAACTTGCATTAAATAAAAAAAGTTAATTTTGTAATATAAAAATTGAAAAAATAGGTAAAATAAACATATTTTATATTTACATTTATATTTAACCTATAAATTTTCTTATTAATGATAAATTTATCAATGCAGAATTAAAATAATATACTCAAATTCATTTAAAATGACTTAATTTTAATATAAACAAAGTTCTAAATTATATTATTATGCTTTATTAAAACTAAATACGAATGGGTAGACTCGCCCCGCGAATTCTGGCTTTTTGTTTACAACAGCAAAACTTACATTCTTTTTGGTTTTTTTCATATAAAATTAATGTAATCTTAGTCTTAGATAAGTTTATCACTTAACCAAAGTGAAAATAGTAATAATAATAATATACTTACGGAGCACCAACTAAAAGTTTGCTGATTTTCAATACAAATCTCTCAAACGACGTTTGAACAGGTCGGTTAAAAAGACCCCAAATAAATAAAAACGGATCAAACTACAACAGCGCCATCTTCCTTAGAGTCTGAACTAAGTCCTCCATCGGTAAAAAAAATTTTATTTGCAATTTAAAATAGTGAAAATTAAATAAAACTAAAATGGGTAGACTCGCCCCGGTTTACGGTAACGTTGCACGTAATCTGCTACCCTTACTTCTCTTAAATTAGTGTATTTTCGCCCATATATGGTTTTCAATTACAATACCATTGCATGCACAATACTCACTCACATATTGCATATTTTTAATCTTAAATTTGTGTATATTTTGATTTCCATTGATTTGTCATTTTGATGTAACCTTGGCAAAATTTTTTTGGTTTTGACTTTACGTGTTTGTTTGTATACTTTCCCCTGTAAAATTTGACTATATTTTCAAAATAAATAACGGATACTTTAATCACTTCCCTTTGTCCCACTTTCAATTTTGAAAAAATATGTTGACAGGTCAATTCAGGTGTAGCAGCACAAATGACAGTGGCAGCTTTAATGTACTAAGTTCAATATTAAAAATACTGACATCGCTACATTCAAAAAATGTAACTGTACAATAAGCATTGAAAGAAGGAAATTAAAAGTAAGGATCACTAGGGTACCTCGGGGTCGTGGATCCCGTGTTTACTTGAAGTAAACCCCTTGAGGAAAACTAAACATAATATAATTTTTTTTTCAATATTCATCTTTAAATATTTATGGAAATTAAGAGTAGCAACAACTAACAAAAAAGCTATTACATTTTACTTTAAATGCATTTTATTCATTTGTTCATATTACTATAGGAGAAAAGATTGGCTAAAATTAAAAGGCAAATATCAAAAATATAAAAACTAATACTCAAGTTCAAGCAATAATTAATTAAAAAGAGAATTACAGCATACTGTTTTTAATTTTTATTTATTTATTGCAAAAATCTGTATGTCTTTTTTTAAAATTCAGAATAATTGTCCAGCAAAACTTTTTAATTGATTTATTGAGTAAAAATATTAGAAAAGTGTAAAACCACCTAACCTTATAAACGTATAAGCACTCTATACATTTTAAGAAATACTAAATTTGAGTAAAATCAATAATACTTTTCTAATATTGTTATGAATGAAATAACTATATAAATTGTATACATACTGATACTATAAATACTTTCTGAATTCTTAACAGGCCAAAAAAGTATTTACTATCCACCATTAATACAATTTATTAAAACGAAAATAAATTACAAATTTATGGTATGAATTTTAAAAAAATTGCCAGTTCAAGAAGGCAATTCTTGGCATAAGGCACAAATATATGTATAAAGGTAAGTTCTGTTGCATGTTCATGGCTTAGAAGTAAATACAATTAAATATTTAATTCTAACTCTACCCAGGAAAATTTCAATATATATGATGAAGGCTGCCAAATTTAACTAGTAACTTTGTCTTCACTGCATTGTGACAAAGAAAATGTTAATGGTTCAAAATCATTAAAAAAAAAACTATACTAACCAGGAATATATGCAAAAACATTCTATCATGACGAAATTTGACTTAAAAAATTTGCCGTTAAAAAATTTTCAATCGACAAAACTTACGTTATATTTCATAACAAAATTATAATTTATTCATTGTAATTTCTTCTAATATTATTAATTCATATTTTGTGCAAGTGGGAAAATTATTTTGCACTACCCCAAATAACTCAAGACATTGTTGTAAGAATAAAGGAATTACGTATACTTTTTCCAAATCGATTTCACTTTTCAAAAATAAAAAAATAAGTACAAAGAAGTAGAATCAGAATTTTATCAAAAAGTTTTTATTTCTTTTTCTTGGTAAATTATCAATAAGTAACTCCAATTTTCATTTCATTCATACCCTAAAACTCCCTTAATGTTCTACACATATATATTTTTGTAATATAATAAGATGTTGAATTAACAAGATTGAAACAAATAGAGAAATTACATTGTTTTTTCAGGATAAAAAAGTGGTCACAGATTAAAAAAATAATGGAGCTTTGAACTAGAGAAGTAAATTGCAGAAATCAATATAATTAAAATTTTACCAATAAAGTTTTTTCTTTTAAACAATTAGAAAAATTATAGAATCTCCAAGTGTAACATTCACTTTATCCTATAACTCCCTTCTTATATGACTATTTTTTTTTTTTTTTTTTTTTTTTTTTNGGTTTGGGTTTTTTTTTTTTTTTTTTTTTTTTTTGGAAAAAAAAGATGTTTTTACAGCTTTTATTTTGCAGCTATTCTTAACTGAGTAAGATGCTGAAATTAATATTATGTACAACTTTATAATAATGTGAAACTTTGCTTCTTTATCAACACTACAGCCAAGTGCAGGCCAAGGCTTTCTTAGTCTGCTTCTTCCAGGATGAAGGATTTATTGCAAGGTTTCTTTAACTGTTCACTCCCAAGACTCTCAAATCCTTTTTTATGCTGTCTAGCCACGTCGTAACAGGTCTGCCTCTCTTGTATTTTCAATTTTTGAAAATTTCAATTTTTTGCTGAATCAACATCTTTGCATAAAAAAGCGTGTCCTAACTATCTCATCTTGAAGGACTTAATAACTCTCAAGATGTTAGGTTGTCTATATTTATCATATTTCATGATTATATAAACTTCTTCAAACATCGCACCAAAATTTAATCAAGGAATCTTTCTTTTAAAAATATGTAATCAATTTTCCTCAAATTTATTAATTGCTCAGCTCTCCCAACCAAACAAAGCAATTAGTCTAATCAGTGTTTTATACAAGTTTCAGCATCAATAAAGATGATTTTTGACTTTAACTTCCTCCTCAGACCAAAATAACATTTAGTATTTGCTATCAGAAATCTGCTCTTAACTTCAGTTATAATATTAATATTGAAACTTTTTAATACAATTATTAGACCTAGCATTTTAGGCATCATTAAAATTATATTAGAATATCAAAATCAGAAAGAAAACCAATACCAACAAAATACACACATAACTAAATGTAACAAAAATATGAATTTATTTACAATATTATATATATAACTTCATTGAAAATCAATTCTATTTTAAGATGATACATCTTTCTCATCTAGGGCATCATTTTATACAAAGATATGTTTTAAATTTTCTGTGTGAAGCAAAATTATTAATTTCATGTTAATTTTATGTTGGTTCTTCACAAATCTTTGAAAATAAAAGAGTCCTCAATCTTTTAAAAACAAGAGCAGAAAAGTTGAACCTGACAGATCAGCTACCTCTCAGCCACAATTCTCAGTCCAATTATAGACTTTTCAACAAATAATTATCTGCAAGAAAATATTTAGAAACAATTTTAAAAAATTGCATGCTTTTAAACTAACATTTTCAACTTTTTCATGATAAAAAGTAACAATTTCAAATGAATAAATTATATATTATTAAGTGAGGGCATTGCCATGGGGAATGGACGATTAAAAATTATAATTTTATGCAGATTACTTTACGGATATAAATGAAATTATTTTTATATATTGACATTTGATAATTAGATATTTCATGCATAGATACATGTTTAAAAAATATTTTTTGACACAACGAAAGCTGGGAGAATATCTGCTAAAATATGCCTGAAATAAAAAATGGAAATTTTTAACATAATAGAAATAATAAAAAAAATTAGATTTTCGGATGATTAGGATTTTAGATCTGAATGTCATAGATAATTTTGTATATCTTACATTGTTTATTGTTTTGTTTATAATAATCATAATGCGATGTAGTATGAATATTTCAATCAAATGTATTTATGAAGATTTATTTTTTTAAATATTATATTTAATAATGATAAAAAAAATTGAAAAAACAAGCATGCAATGATTATACTGTTTCAGATCTTCGACAAATAATAGCAATCCTGCTTTAATACTGAGGTATTTTCTTTATTTACGCTAGGAAACTACAACAAAAATCTGAATGCATTACTTAATTTGCTGCTTAAAAAAATATGCATGCAACTTCTATTTCTATTTAAAACTCAATAGTCAAGAAAAAAAACAAAAGTTCTTACTTCACAAGTTTTCTTGATAACATTCCAGCAACTCATGCCCTTACAATGACTATAGGAAAGTTTTCAGTGATTATATGCTCATCCTCAAAAACAACTACTACATTAACTTCAAATTCTAAAAATAAACACATATATTTAAATATGTACTATACTATACTATACTTTAAATATGTATTTCAGTAAATTAATATAACTAGGATGAATAAGAACCAATTCTTTTACTTAGTAATACTGCATCAATAGAGCAAACTCCCTGAACCTTTTAATCTCAATTTCCCTAATCTTCAAAGATTACATGTTACATATCAAAAGAGTACAACCCTTATAAAGTTTTCAGAAAATTTAGAAAAAATTTGATACTTAAATATGTACATTGATAACCAATAAAATAACTCATAATAAGCACAAATGAACTATTTTTACAAAAGACCCTGAAAAATTTTTGTCAATCTTGGGATATTTCTTGTCCGAAGTAACTTATTTCTTAATTTAAAAACACTAATTTTTATATTATTTAAAAAATTTTAATAAATCTGTAAAAAGAAAAAAAGAAAAAATATTTATTTATTACAACTAGCACTATTGAAAATATAATAAATTAGTAAGGGAAATATTTATTAGCATCTCAAATCTTCAAAACTGCAACTTTAAGAAAAATAACAAGCAAATCTAATATAATAATGCTGAACTGTTAAAACCAGTTTTAATCATTATTACTAGCATTATTGAAAATATGATAAATTAATATGAGAAATAGTATAATTAAAATTTTAAGAAAAACAATTTACAAAACTATCAAACCTAACTATTAAACAATCAAACATTTATTGATTGAATTTAAATAAATTATTTAATTATGATTTTGTATACAAAGTATATATACATACTAAAACTTTATTTAAGACTTGGATTCAGAGACATTTTTTTAGTAAACCTTTTTATTAAACATTCTAACTTAAAGCTCAAGTCATTTTTTATTTTTTTTCATTCAAAGAAAGATAATGTTTAAGTTACACTTGCAACACAAAAATCTTAATGAATTCCAATGATAAAATAGTTAATTGCATAAAAAAAGGGTTAATATGTTCTAACTGTTACTAGAGAAAATATCTTACAAAATGATACTTTTCAATTACTACGGAATTTTAAAAACAGGTATTATTTTAAACATTTAGATATTTTATTTTTACTAACATATTTTATTAGATTTATATCATTCAAAACTTCAAAGGAACAGATGTGAAATAATACAAAAAGATGGCCATTGTGTTGGTCATTGTTTAGAAGAAGTACAAAGAACCATATAAATGCAGTAAATGTTTTAATTTAATTTTTTAAGATATGAAAATAATACAGTAAAATTTATCAGTTAAAAATGTCAAAAATTTTATCTTCAAAATTGTTTTTTTTTAGGAATTGCACAGTAGTGTATGAATATCCTTAAAAAATAAAAGGGAAAAAAACATTTTTAGGTGCACAAATGACATGGCACAATTTTGTGCATTAAAAAGATATTTTTAAAAGCGTACTAATATTAAACATTATTAATAATAATAAAAATTTTAAATGGATACACATATTTAGATGACTTATATGCTGGAGGAAGAAAAAAAACATTATTTTGAAGCACACGCTGACATTTTTACACTGAAAAATAAAACATAAGTCTTACCTATTTTAAAATTATTTGTGACAAGTGTTGGACAAGTAAATAGCCTGGGAAATATCATATGTATAGGAATCAAAATGTTTCTGCAAACATCTCCTTCACCAATTTGAATATTCTGAATTTCTGTAGCTGTAAACAAACATTAAAATAGAAGTAGAGCAATCAATCAAAAAACAGCCATAAAAAGTCTAAGTTTTCAAAAGCATTAAAGAGTTTATTACCGTCTCGAGAATATCCTTCTGAGCAACCACATGTTTCAACTCTTACTAACTGTAATTCAACAGAACGTATTGTAGCATCACACTTCTCAATACATAACTATAAAAATAAATAAGATAAGTAAATTTAAAAAAAACTTTAGCTCCATAAATAATCACTAGATTTTCAATTGTTTTTGGTATCGAAATATGATAAAATACAAGAAAATATATATATACAGAGAGAGAGCACAATAAAGACAAAAAGGTGAGTTGCTAGGTGAGTATTTTTATTTCGATATGCCCATGCACCATGATACAGTGACACCAAAAAAATCAGTTTCAAATAATATGTATATAAATATACATAAAAGTTGCAAAGAAAAAAGGCAAAACTAGAATCTTAAAATAGCCTTGAAAAAATAATATTTCAATTAAATAAAAATTCAATATATCTTTATCATGAGGGGACCTTTTATAAACATAAATCAATGTCAAAGCTTTGTGTTAATCTGAGCAAACTCACTTCAATTTCAAGTGGCATTAGCACAGTTGAAAACCCAAATGAGTTGTATATGGCAAATTCCTTCATTAAAATTAATAATTTTTATTGATAATTCTCTATTGTGCAGGGTTATGAACAAGTAACCAAACTTTTAATGCTTTATGCACGTTTAAATACAGTAAAGCAGAGTATTTTATACAATATTTCAATAAAATAAAAATTCAACATATCTTTATCATGTGGGGACTTTTTATAAACTTAAATCAATTGCAAAGCTTTGTGAAATGTGTTTATCTGAGCAAACTCATTTCAATTTCAAGTGGCACTGACACAGTTGAAAACCCAAATGAGTCGCATACGGCAAATTTCTTCATTAAAATCAATAATTTTTATTGATAATTTTCTATTGTATAGGGTTATGAGCAAGTAACCAAACTTTTAATGCTTTATGCATGTTTAAATACAGTAAAGCAGAGTATTTTAAGCTGTCCTCACTGGATCTTGAAGACCTTTGCACCTGAATAATTTATTCCGTTTGCATTAGGTTTTGAGATAATGTTTTAGAAAATTTATTTCTATCAACAAAAAAAGGAGATAATTCTAATTTTATTTAATTCCTTAATTTAGGTGCATTAATGTAGTGTTGCTACAACTCTCTTTCCATTTTATGACTATCAGTGAGCCTATTTCTGCCCAAACTGTCTGACTGTTTTAGATAGCCTCTCTGTAAATAAATTAAGCAGTTTTGATCTGCCAATTTTTGTGTAAGGGTTGAAAACCTGTGAAGAGGGGCAGGACAGAGGTGAGGAAGAGAGGGAAAAGACTGGACTAGCTGGCAGAAGAAGAGGAAAAAGATATTTTTTGGTAGAAAGTTCTGAAGAATAAATATACATCTACCCTGAAACAATTGCTGCAACAGGACTGAATAATTAAGATATATCCAGCGAATAATATCCTGATACTTACAAATAGTCTATCAGCTCCTCAACATTTCAAGCACATGTGCAAGATAAGTGACTTTAGATTTTATTAACTCCAGCAGCGATTCCCTTTTCTTAGAGATTCTTCAAATCTGTTTGTCAAATGTTGATTTAGTATAGAACAATTTGTAATGACCTTATTTTATTATGCCACATGGTCAAATTTATTTTCATGAGTAAATCTTGATAATTGAGTTGATCATCATTAAATGTTGCTTAAGTAAATTATATCCCTTGTGATCATTATTTTTAGACAGATANGAATATTATATTAAAAAAGGTTATAAGAATGCATTTGAAAAAGAATTGAAAGTACTATTTTGTGTATAACATATTTATTAACTAACTTTTTTTTAACCAAATTTTATATTTTTTCGATTTAAGTCTTGGATTCATAAATTTTAAGAAATATGATGTTGACAACCAATTAAATAGAATTAAATCACAATATTAAAATAAAAATATTAACTTAAATATGAACTTCTAGTAAAACCGTAGAAACCTTAATTTAATTGAAAAAATGTATAACTTAAGAAAAATTAATTTCTCCAAGCAACATTGAAAATAAACATTCAGCACTTGATCTCAATCCTTATCAATCAATGGATTAAAAGATCACTTTGATTAGTTTTTATTGGTTTTAAAAAATACGCGATAGAAAACATTTAGCATTGTGGTTATTTTTCTACATTTCCAGAATAATAAAAAATTAGAAAAAGGTAAATATAAGGAAAAACTGATTAAAATAAATAAATAAATACACTGAGATTTGGAAAGAATCTCATGCCTGTAAATAATCCTGTAAGATTTCTCCCATACGAATTTTAGAAATATTTCAAAAATTTGTTAATGAATTCCAACTTTATATTTTTATCAACTTTAAAAAAATAATAATAATTGGGAACTATAAGTTACTCATTGTTTAAACAGCTACAAGCAAAGTGAAAGTGTAAAAGTGAAGGTGTAACAGCAACACAAAAGTGTTCTTCTAAGCTTATATTGCAATAGAATAAAATGTAACAACATTTAATTTTATTATTTGGTGATCTTTTATTAACATATTCCAACAACAAAGCTTTATCAGCTATGTTAAGTGCCCTCTAAGCAAACTCAGTTTAATTTTGAGTAGGACTATAACTGTGGAAAACCCAAATGAGTCATATAAAGAAAACTTTTTTATTTAACTAAACTACCCAAACTTTTAATACTTCCATACATGCTTAAAATTTGCAAAGCAGAGAATTTGAAATTATAGTCACCGGATTTTAAAAACCTTTGCACCCCAATTTATCCCTTTTTCATTAGATAGTGAAACAATTTTTTTATAAATTTATTTTTAAAAAAAATAGGGTTTTTTTCTGATTTTAAGGAGCTTATCTCCTTAGTTTAAGAATAAAATCTTTTTAAATCTTTTTTGTCCAAATTACCTATGAAATATTTCAAAAATGACCACAGTAATATTTTTAAAATGACAAAACTGCATTTAAGGGCTTAAAACTGCAATATAATTTCAATCATTTTTATAAAACTAGATATACTGAACTAAATGCAAATAATTCAATCCAAATTTACTCGACTTATTTAAAAAATATTTGTTTCTGTATACAAATATTTCAAAAAACAAATTCAGTTCTGCAACATTGATTTGTATATACGAAGAGGATGGATAACTTTTTATGTCTCTAATTTTATCATATGATAGTTTGTCATTTAGCATTATATAGAATGCTAAAAAAAATGAAAAAGAGAAAATATAAAACAGAATAATTCATACTTTGCCAAAAATGACTAATGTGCTATTGACTAAATATTCTATAGAATGAAAGCATTTTATATTCATCAAATATTATACATTATAAATAAGGAACAGCAATAGAATATGCATCACTTAAAGTAATAATTAATATGAAAAATAACTCATGGCTTTTTCTCTGTGTTTGAGTAAATAATTAAAAAATATCACAAAAAAGATCAATAAAGTTTGAGTCTAACTAGATAATTTACAGGAAAGAAGTAGAAAAAAAATTTCTAAACTCAATTGAAAAAATGTTTGTTTCATAAAATTTTTTTATATTTGTTACTATGCATTAACATTGCTTGTAGAAGTGAATGTGTTCATGTATTCATAAACTAAAGATACGATTTATATAAATACACTATTAAAAACAGACATATTTCAAACAGATATATATATATATCTCACATATTTTTAAAAATTATATATTGCATAATATTAAATAGAGAATTTTAAAAAAATCAGCTCACAAAAAAAAAAATACTTCACATTATTTCATAAAAAGCTACCCCTCATTGATTCATTCTATCATTGTAAAAAGGGGCTCCAAGCATCTAGCTAAAAGAGACATCAAACGAGGACACATACTTCACATTTATTGCTATTAGCTATTCTATTAGATATTATAAAATTTAATATTTAACTGGTAAATGTTTGGCTAAAGCAAAACATTTTATGAAGAATAAAATATGAGTTTAAAACAAATTTTATAATAAAGTTTTAGACAGTTTAAAATTTAAATATTTTTTGTAATTAAAAGAAGAAACAAAGAATAGTTTGCTATAAATAATAATTTTTACCATAGAAATATGTTCACTTATATCATAAAAAGAATTTAAAATATTGAATTAAGAAATAATTAAGAAAAGTATAGACAAAAAAAAGACAATCAAAAACAAAAATCTAATTTATTCAACATACCTCTCCAGTAAATGGCTGCATTATATTACACACTGTAGAGTCGATTCTTCCTTTTATGACAAAATTAGGCATATTTTTCCTCTGCTTAAGAGAAGATAAATTATAAATGTAACATTCACACATAATGTAAGAAAAAAATTAAGTGGAACCTATTTTCCTTAACACTGAATGTACTAAATGTATTTGTAATCTTCCTTTGCAAAAATATTTTTCAATATGTGAAAAAAAAATTTGCAAAAGCTATAATACATTCACAGTTAAGATTCTAAAAGCAAAGATGGATATCTTTGAAAGTCTAAAATAAAAGTATAAATACTATAATGTGCATATGTTATCAATGTACAGTTTTTCAAAAATACAATTAAAACCACTTAGTCCTAAGTACAAACTAACATATCTTGTTCACAAGAGTAAGAAAGAGTACAAGCAAGGGAGTACCATATAGATGAGATGACAAAGATAAATTTAGATTGAAATGAGTATATCACAGCAATCATAATGAATTTTCAAACGTGGAGCTTTATTCCAAACCCATATAAAGAATTTTAAAAATGAAATTTTTATTTGACTTAAATGAAGAAAAAAACTTAAATGATATTGTTCATTTAAAAACAACAACAAAATCTATTCCTTCTTAGTTTCTTACCCAGTTTAAAGCAACTTATATTTTGGAATTTTTTTTCTCCCTCTTCTTTCCTAACAAATGATGGAAAAAGGCAATTTGGTACTTAAATCAATACTTTTTAGAAAAAAACTGTTCTTAATAGGTACTAATATATGTGAAAACTGAAAGAGTTTATTGGATTCTAGATTTAATATATATATATATANTGTACCCTCCTTCCCGACCTATGACCTGTTTTAATCCTTCCACTCGGCAACGACGTTATATATATATGTAAGAAGAAGCAACTTAAAAAAACATTAAAAATGAACTTATTTTCAATAAACAATAAAACTATTTATGCCCAGTTTTATAATTCTCTTACTGAAAATTATTATTATTTAATTTTAAACAATATTGATAATAAATATTAATAGCATTAAATTAAAGTCAAGCATATTTTATTAAATTTAAAAAAATAATAACACTTCATTTAAAAAATTTTAGCATTAATTCCACTTTATTAAGAAAATTAAATAATATTTTAAAAAACTACTTTAATAAACTTGAAATATTGCAAACTAAATCATATTTTAATTTATAAGAAACTTACATATTTAACATTTTGCAAAGATTCAGGTGTAATGTTGAAATTAACAGGAACTGCTTTAGAATCTGCTTTCTGTTCCTGAAAACATATAATATAGAAAAATAAAAATATAAGTAATTTTTAAAATCAAACTGATATAACTAAAATTAAATATAAAAAATAAATCAAATATTAATACCTACAAAACAAAAGAGCAAATACAAATTTAGTGAGTTAGGTTGCGTGTATTTTATGTGCATTTGAAAGGCATATTTGCCAAAGATAAACAGTAAAAAAAGATAGAAAGTAGAACTTAAATGAAATTTTACTAACATAGTGATGGGTAACATAATGCAAGATCCTAGACGCCAAAAACAAAGAAAAGTGAAAAAGAGAAAGGACACACTTTTGCAATAGTATAAATGCATATTTCATTGATTTAAATATAGTTCAGATTGTTTCAGGTTTGGTATAAAAGCTTACAAGTTCAACAGTTACACAGGAACTTTGGTACTAATATGCCATAATTCCACTAACTAATATGCCATTAATTCCACTCCAGAAATTGCAATCCTTGAACCTAGTTTGTCGTTGATTCCACGACACGCATATTGCATAGAATGTTTTGATGTGTTTTAATTTTTAATAAAATTCTATCTTAAGAATTAAGATTCGGAAAAGCTACAAACCTAATTAAAACATTGTTGACAGATGGCGGGTTAACCTGTCTTTTCATGCCCAAACATTGTTGACAGATGATGAGTTAAATTTATAGTTAACGACTTCAAAGTCAGCAACATAGCATGTCGAGTAAACTGGTCATCGGTCAAGAGTGTTTGGGCACAAAATCAATATTTAGAATGTTTTACTTCACTCCTATATTCAATTACAAAATAAAGATCAGTCACATGACCTAATTTCAGTGCATAATTACCAGTCAAAAAAATGTTTAATTAAAAAAATTACAAGAAATTTATTTATACCAACCTTATATTCAACTATGAACTCCAAAACTTTTTGCAAATCCTTGTTCAATAGAGATCGCTTCATCTCACACTTTAAGTAATACTGGTAATTGGAAAATATAAATATTACATAGATGTTAAGCTTCAAATTAATTTAAAATATTATGAGAATTGCTACCTATTACAATAAAATTTTACCTTGACATTTATTTGTTACAGTGCCAAACAACTAATCAAAAACTATTATAATAAAATTTTAAGAAAGTTAATTTTTTTTTTTCAAATAAAAAAATATTGCACACAAGTGGGAGAAAATTGAAATACATAATAAATATAACATTTGAAGAGTATAACTGCTAAAAGTTATTCTTGCTTACCAAGAAAATAAAATGAAATTAAAAAAAATCATGGTTTGTGTGCCTTAAACTCAAAGCAAAGCTTTAATTTTACTAACTTGCTAAAAAAAAAATCCTAGAAATTTAACTGATTAATCAGATTAAAAATATATTTTTTTAATAAATTACCAATATGAGAGTTTTATGTAGCAAGTTGATAATCATTCAAGTCTTTTTCAATGTTTACAAATTTTAATAAGTTCATATAGTGCCGCATTAGAGGAGCTTATCAATTAGTGAAAAATTAAATTGCGAATACATTGCATTTTCGCAAAACTGCACCTTTTCATCAAACATTTTGTGATAATTGCATAATTAGCATAAAAAGCACTTGCTTAAGATGGATAAAACTAAACAATTAGAATAATTTGAACAAACTCACAAAATTAGAAAAAGAAAAAAGTTTTCACTCAAATTTGTTATTTCATATGACAACAGGAAAACAGCCAAAACCTTAGGATTAAATAAGTTCTTTTCAAAAGTAGGAAAATGCAAAATCTTCTTTTTTTTATATATATATCTTCGATATGAAAAAAATTACATTATAAGTATAAATAAAATTGAAGGAACTAGAAGAAGAGGTAGACCACCTACAAGACGGTTGGACAGTAATTGCTAAGACTTAAAATTGTTGGGAATAAACAGGTGGAAAAATCTAGCTCAAAGTCGCCCTGCTTGGAGGCAGCTAATTGAGAAAGACTTGGCCTGCACTAGGCTGTAGTGCTGACGAAGAAGAAGTATAAATAAAGTCAACAAAATCAAGATTCGCTCCTTAAAACACATAGAAAATTTAAAATATTCCACTTAATCTTGAAAAAATATTTATTTTGCTCTTAAATACTGTCTGGTTACATCTGTAACTTGAAGATATAGTGTTCCAAGTGGAAATATAAGCTCTTGGAAAAGATTATTTTGTGACATGCATATAATGGTTCCCTATTAATTACAGAGTATCAATATTAAATTATCAACTTTGAAAATGAAAGAAAAATTTGCAATTAATAATTACATTTGATAAAGCATTAACTATGCCCAATGCAGATTAACCAACACTCAATCCCATTCTTGCTACAGAGAAAAACATTATCGGCTATTCTCAATTTATAATAAAAATTATTCTGTAGACGTAATGTACTTATTCACGCAAATATATTTTGGGTTGCAAAACAGATAAATATAGACAAAAGATTGTTACCATTTTGCTACAAAATAAAATGCTGAAATTCCAATAATGATATTTTCAACATAAAAAAACACAGTTTGTATACCTTCTGAAGCAAATACAACTCTTTCATTCCTTTGTTTTTGTACAATCTGTGACTACTATACTCCTGGTGAACACTTCAGTAATTTTTAGTTAACTACATTACTTTTTCAGGACTTGTAGAAAACCTTTTAAATTTAGATATTTAGAAGAACTTGTATCGTTTTTGATTCCAACAAGTAAATAAACAGTAATTTTTAACTTTTTTAACAATTACAATTTTTATAATTTTTTTATAACTCAGTATTTTTTTCAAGACATTTAATATTAAATTAAACCTCATATTTAAAATAATTTTTAGTGAAAAAGAAACATATATAAAATACATACAGGAAGCGAAAGATTATTCTTAGTTATGGTAAAATAAAAATGTAAATTGATTTTGAATAATGTGAGAAGAACCAATTAGAATCATATTTAATACAATAATTTTATAGAAATTATTTAAAGATACTTGCATCCAACCTGCTTGCTATTAAAACAGTTTCGCACTGGATATCTTTTCTATGAAACGTACGACGATGAACTTTTTCACCAAAAAAAAAGGGCTTTTTTTATTAAATTTAGTGTGCTTTTTAATTTAGAATTCATGCAAAAGCGGCAATACACTGTAAGAAAACTAAAAAGCTTCGGTTAAAATCCCTTAAAAAAAAATTTCTCTAATAGACAGGATACTGCAATTTCTTTAAGGAAAACAGAAATATTCATTAAAACATTTAGGTATTTATCTTTCATAAAATTATCTACAACCTTTCATATCATTTTCCTTTTATTCTCTTAATTATTTAAAAAAGTTTTTCACATAGATAAATGAATCTCAAACACTAAACAAATAATAAACATCATTGATTTTTTTTTTCTCCGGTTTTATAACAAATTATTACAATAAATTTCTAAATTTTATTTCAAACCAATTGTGATACCAAAACAAAAAATTGTCTGATACACCAATAAAAAATTAATGCATACTTTTTAAGAAAGAAACCTTTCAAAATAATTGACTTCATATTTCCCTTAAATATTAATAATTTGGCAAAATATAAATAAAATTTGTTTCTCTTAAATAAGTCATTGCTTCACTACCCTTCTTCAACTTTAAAAACATAGATAAGATTTTAAAACTAACTATTAATCAAAAGGTAAAATATGATAAGGAAATTGCAAAAGTAAATATACCAGAAGCTTAAGTAATAAAAAATCTAAAATTATAAGAAATATAAAATTATTAAAAATCAAATCATAAAAATCATTTTGATGATGAAAACCAAAAATATACCTAATAGGCAACGGTGGTCACAACATTTCAAAATAATGCATGCCAATTACAAAATTAATTTAAGAAAAATTTGCAAGTGTAAACATTTTCTTTCGAAGCCATAAAATTAAAACTCTAATTTATTTATAATAAAGAAAGCTTTTTTTATTATTTATTAGATAATTCTTTTAGATTTATTATTCATTAAAACATTTGATTGGAGGAGTTTTTATTTCAGTGATTTATTTGAAGGAGTCTATATAGTATTTATTATTATTTGTATTTAGTAAAATCTTCATTAATCTTAATAAATAGAGTTCTAAATACAACTTCATTTTATTAACATAAAAAGCAACAAAAAAAATTTGTTACAAGTGGTCTAGAAATTCCTTGGATTTTAACTTAAGTGAACTTAGTTTTTAATTGCAATTAACACCAGATAATGCAAACTGATTGATCAGTAATAAAATAGTAAATACCTGAATGCTGATAAATACACCATGATAAGTTTCATATAAAGTTCTATTTGTCCTAGGTTTCAAGGGTATTTCAAAGGGAAGTTCAGTTCTCCCGGCTGGAAATTTGCCAGGTTTAGCGATTTCTAGAACACAGTTGGTCAATAGGACAGGCTGAAATGAAATAATATTGTTAATTTTTCCTTTAACAAATTAAGTTTCAGAGAGTTGATTATGATATTAAAAGATAAAATAAATCAGTTTAAGATAAATGAGAAAAAACAATCCATGGTCATATTAGAAAAACGAAAATTAAACCTTAAAAATGCTTTTTTTTAAAAATTATTCTTTTATAGTGTTGAATCGTTAATACCTTCAGTTGTAACTCAAAACTTTAAAATATATTATATTAAATGATATGACTTATTATTTTCTGCAATAAAGTATTAAATATAAATTTAAATAATTGGTGTTCTTAAAAATTTATAAGAAAAGAAAAATTAATTAACGAAGTGACTTAATAAGAAAAATTAATTAACGAAGTGACTTAATAAAATATTGAAATAACATTACACAAGTGTGATAAATGCAAAATGTGCAACCCAAAATATAATTACTAAACAAAAATCATTCAATATAAGAAATTATAAATTAAACCTAACTTATAACTTATTCTTTAAAATAAAATATTCTTTCAGTCATGCAAAGATCTGAATAACTTTACCTTAGCTGATGAATAAAATGCTTCCAAAATGCCAACGTTTTTCGCACTTAGCTGCATGGTAACATTACCTTCCATAGACAAAGTTAAACCTTCATGCTTGAGTTCATTTCTACTCTCAATAATCACATAACCAATAATTGCCTCCTAAACAAACAAAATTTCAAATTTTTAAACATAGTTAAAAAGTTCACATTTTGCACAGTAAATTCAGGACAAATGTAACAGAGAAAAAAAAATAATTGTCTCCCATTTTCTCTAGAAGATTACCAAATGTTAGAATCAGATATTGAAATTAATGTTCTGGTGTAAATAAAGACATAGTATTTTTGTTTTTTGAACTCCAACAAATCTGCATACAACATTATAAAATGAACAGTGTAACACTCTCTCAACTGAAAATAAAGAAATATCTCAACTATGAAAAAAAGTAGTCTTAAAGAAATATGAAAAAAATATCTCAATTGATCAATCCTTCACAGAAATCAATTCCTTCGTAGCTAATAATAGGAAGATATTTGCATTGCAATCTGTGGCAGAATAATCGCCAAGCAACTTCTAGGCAGCAGCCTGAGAGAAACTAAAAAATAAATAAATAAATGGAAAGGGACCAACTGGAAGGGTGTAATTCATGTATCGTTATCTGTCGCCCAAACCATAATCACCAAAGTGCCAAGTAGATTTTACACTTGCACGTTTAAAAAAAAAACATGTAGATGTTTATTTGGGGGTTGGCTACGAGTTTTACCTTTCGAACTGGTCTTTTTCGGTGATGGTTTTTTAAGTTTCTCGTGGGCCACTGCCCGGAAATTGCAAAGACTTGGCGAGTATTCTGCCACAGATCACAATACAGAAATCTCCACAATAATTTAAAATCCATATTTGCAATTATAGTTGGCATGACATATCTTGATACGGAAATATTCCCAATATAGTTCAGATAGATGATATTTCCATAGTGGTAGCTGCTCCCCTCCCAGCAACTACAATAGCCAAGGTGCAAAAACGTCTTTTACAAAAGTTTTTAATTGTTAAAAGTTATACCTTCTCAGTTGGCCTCTGTGGGATTTTTTTTCTTCTTTTAGTTTCTTATGTATTACAGCTTAGTTTTTATCAAAATTAAGCATAAGCACAGATATAGAAATACTCCCAATTGTAAATGCATAAAATACATTTAGGTAACAATATGTTGTTGACTACATCTATCGGACTGAGATAACAAAAGTTTGCATCAGAATTTTTCCTATATGTTTCATACATCTGATAAAATCCTTAAAAAATTCTAGCAAAAAATTGACTAAGAATGTAAGAAAAACTCTTATCTTAATATAAAAATTGCTAACATTGAAAATAAGAACTTAGTCATAAATATTTACATTTAGGTAGATAGATATTTTATTTATGTGGCACAAAGGTTATTGGTCTGGGAAACATCTCTGAGGATGATCTGAAAATATGTCATCACAATTTTGATCCCCTGCCGAGGGTATGGCTCCACCACTTTGGTAGCACAACAACCTGCGTGCAAAGTTGAGGACTTTACTGTAGAACAGTTTCAGGAGGACCTATACCACACACCCTCGGTCCACAGACGCAGGCTGATCAAAGGGGTCACCCACCAGCTTACTGACCACAATCAGTTAATTCAAAAGAATTCATAATTACAATAGAACAAGGGGAGATTTCCGTATCATGATCTGTGCCACAATAATCGCCAAGTCTAGGCATCTTCCGGGCAGCGGCCCGCGAGAGAAAAGGTATAACTCGCCGCCATCCTGGGCAAACATCTGCATGATTGTTTTTATAAAAAAAATTACAAAATTTAAAATCTACTTTGCATCTTGGAGATTGTAGTTGGCGAGACAGATCACGAGACGGAAATATCTCCTAAAAAAATGTCCTGTTCAAGTCTAACAGATGCTATTTTTCCTAAATTTACTGGTAATAAAATCTTTCTAAATTCACAAATTTCAAATTAACCAAATAAGCAATTAAGCTTTTAGAAAAGTTTTAAAAACAGACATATAAGCTTTTAAAATAATAAGAATAAATGCTTCAGCAACTTTTTATCAGTTATTTTATTATTAGTTATTTTATGTCTCTTCCTTGCGGTGATGGAACGAAATATATACACCCACTTTTTAAGCGAGATAAATAAAAGAACAAAATAAGTTGGGACATTGATATAATTTGAAAAGCAATTATTAAAAAAAACAAGCTGCCAGATTATTTTATGCACTCACCTCATCATGATAAATTTTATTAACACGTTTAAGACGAATATCTAAAGTAACAGACATTTTTAACTACTACAAAACCAAAACAAACGAAAAAACAACTTGATTAATTGTAACTGACTGCTTATTTCTGCTTAAAACAAAGCTTCTTACACGCAACTGCTAAGCCTGATTTGATTAGCTAAGGGCCCATTTACACTGCATTTAACAGTTTTATAGACATGAGTGAAGACGTAAGTGCGAGTGTTCAGAAACTATATGTTAGGGGCGATTAATAGTCCCGCAGTGTCCGACGGCTCGAAAGACACAATTCCCAATGGAACACCGAAGTCAAGCATCACTGACTGCGGTCAATAAGTGGATGGTAAACACTTTGATCATCCCACATACGGACCGCGAGAACGCTGTATCGATCCTCATAAACTGTTTGACAGTAAAGTGCTCGAATTCGCAAGCAGTACGTCGGTCTACCAAAACAGGGGAACAATTCCCTCTGTAAAGGATCAAAATTGCAATGGCATGTCTTCGGATCAACCTCTGGGCTGCTTCCCAGACAGTCGTGAATTGTGCCCATTGTGCAGCTCTAGTGCTACGTTGATAAAATACGTAACTGACTACCGATTCCCATTGACTGCTGTTCATAATCTCCTGATCAGAGCATAGAAAAATGAAATATCTGATTAGTTTTTTTTTTCCTTTTTCGCAGGAAAACAGTTTTCACTAATAAGATTCTAATTCTCGCTTGACGTAGATCGGAAGACGCATTCAGTGAGACTGGTCTTTTTGATGACCTTCTCGCTCATGCATTTCAGCGCAATCCATATCCGAATCTTATACAGTGAGAATAATGGTTGGGAAGATTGGTATTGTATGAATCATAAACTTGATAGCCTAGCTCTTAACAGACATATATACATATTTCTCCATCATCATACTTGCACCTACAAAATCTTTCCAGTCAATGAAAACGACCTCTCACTCTTCACTCCGTCCGCTGACGAACAAACTCTTGATCATGGGCTCTAAATCCATGACTACTTTAATCTTTGACCTTTCTCTCTCATTAACCAAATTGATAAAGAAAAAAAAATCTTTAGAAAGTATGCAACAACACTATAAAACTTATTCAAATTTCGTTAAAAAAAATTATGCCTAATGTCAGTTAGTTATTTTTTATTACACAATTTAATGAACAATGATAAAATTGAATTTGTCCTCAAACTAGATTCAGCTAGTATTGTTGTGCTGAACTCCAAAAACAAAGTTTTTACGGTCTTAAAGCTAAAAAGTTAATAAAAGCATTGACAAGCGTATAATTTAATTCTTGGAAATATTTTCGTTTTAACTGCATTAATAAGTAGGTAAGTACTTTATTTACGTCGTACTAGATCTGCACCATGGGCTATTGGTGACGATCTGGGAAACATCCCTGAGGATGATCCGAAGACTTGCCACCGTAATTTTGATCTTCTGCAAAGGGGATGGCTCTCCTGCTTTGGTAGCCTGACGATATGCGCACGAAATCGACCACTGTGCGGCGAAACAGTTAAGCGAAAACCGATAACTCACACCCTCCATCCCTACGCAGGCTGATCAAAGTGGTCACCCACTCGCTTACTGACCGCAACCAGTGATGCTTGACTTCAGTGTTCAACTGGGAACATTGTCTTTACGATCGGTCCACTGCGGGACTACCTCATTACTAGAAACAATCACTTCAAGAAGGTTTAAAATGTAAATTTTATATCATATTTAGTTGCTATATTTACTGTGGTGAATAAGAATGATTTATACATCTCTTTTTTACAGTACTTTCTTTAAGAAAATATCATCATGGTAGGAAATACACCCTTAATGGATCCGATGGAATATATATATATATATATATATATATAGATTCATACATTCAACATTGCATTTGAGCTTTGCATCATAATTTATTTTATCTTTAAAAGTGTCAAAAACCTAAAGTTTTGTGTTAGAATTTTTTCCACTTAGGAACGGGTAAATATTTTAAATATTAAAAATTTATTTAATATTTTTAAAGCAAATAGCCAAAGAAAAAAATCATACAATTTGTTATAAGTTTTTATTTTAAATAATAATAAAAGAAATATAAATACTTATATATACTTTGTTGCGGAAAAGAACTCATGATACTTTAAAATGGAAAAATATTTTAAATATTTAAAAATTGCTAAGTACCTTTTTGCCACCTTTATGAAAATCATTAATATCAATGATTCGAATATTTTTTGTAAGCCCAAACCAGTGTTTGAGTAACATGGTGAAAATTAAAGAAATTAGTTCACTAACTTATTTATTTCATTTTCAAAATATAGCAGCTTTTCTTCATTTTCGCCATTTGCATAATAAGCATAATGATAGCTGAAGTGACCAAACAGTTATAAAAATGTCCCATTTTTCACTAAAATAATTTTTCTTCAGGTCATAAAAGCATTTGATGCTGTGAATTTCACAAAGATATAAAAATTAATCATTATAATTTTAAGTTTTAAAAATATGGTACAGCTTCTTCATATTGAAATTGTACGCTATTCTATTTATTATAATATTGGATATTGGCAAGAAACGGGTGTTAAACCTAACTTTAATACAAAATTATTAAAAATTGAAAAAAAAAAAAAACAAGTAATTCAATTATTTAATTCGTTTTTAATATTTTTCTTGTTCCATTAGTCATAATCAAGGTTGTCAGCAAGAGAGCAGGGACTATTGCTCTAGGACGCGGAGCAGCTGAAAGCTCAGTCAAGATTCCTGACAAAAAATTTAGTCCTTTAATTATTTTTTTAAAATTAAACTGCAGAGAATTCTATTCTATGTCTATAAAAACTATAATTTTAAATAAAGGATGTTCAAAAATTATACAAGGTAATGAGAAAGAGTTTTTTTGTGAAATGCTTTTAAAAAAATGCCTACAATTTTTATAAATTTTTGAAAAAGATATACCCCGAAGAGCCATTACATTATGACCACCCTGCTAATAACATGTAGGACCACCTTCAGCCCTCAAAACTGATAGCACCGGTCGTGGCATTGATTCCACAAGGTGCTGATAGGCAGTCTGAGGTATCTGGTACCAAGCGCTCACCAACTGGTCCTGCAATTCCCTCACATTGCGAGGGGGTAGCGTGGCAGCACGAATTTGGTTTTCCAAGTAGGACCACAAATGCTCTATTGGATTAAGGTCAGGTGAATTTGGGGGCCAAGACATGACTTGAAAGTCACTGGAATGTTCCTCGACGATTCGACCCTTATGACACTGGAATGTTCCTCGACGATTCGACCCTTGACATGGTGGGTGCATTATCCTGTTGGTAAACACCATCTCCCGCAGGAAAAACTGTTGCCATGATTGGGTGAACCTGCTCTGCAACTATGTTCAAGTAGCTTACGGACGTCAGGGATTGTTCTATGAGGATTATGGGTCCTAATGTGCACCATGAAAACATTGTTCCTGGGCGAGCCCATTGATGTAGATGGAGGTTGGTCTTAATGTAATGGCTTTTCGGTGTATATTCCAATATTAAGGAACGGTTATAAATAAAAATTTAATTTCCCTAAATTTCTAAGTGCATTATTAATTGCTATTATACATAATTCTAATTGAAATAAATATTAGGAAACTATGATACAAATGGAATAATCAAAAAGCATGTTTTCAATACACTAATTTAGTCTAGGCTCGTAGTTCTCATGTGATCAATTTGTCCTGAGTTCGCAAAACATTAAAAAAATTAATTTCAATTCTTTGTTGTTTTTACTTTCAAATTTTCTTTTTAAGAGAATCGCATAAATCATAACGTATGAAAATATTTGTAATTCTTAGACGCCATTAAAAAAATATAAATTTTTAAAATATCACTTTTTTTTACCTTTATCATCATCTTTAGCCCCTTTTTATTTTTTGTGTGTTTGAACAATCGTTTTCAAGTCTAATACCAGGTCTTCAAAAGTTATTTATTAATCTAATAATATATTTATGAACTTATTCGATTCAAACATGTCGACAACCTTTACAATTTATTTCGCTCTCTCGCTCGCTCTTTTAAAAAAATCGTATTTTACGCTGATGTTTTGGGTGTTCATACATGTTACTAAAGGTACTATAAATCGTATCTAACTTCTTAAATAACGCCTATAAAATAATAATAAAAGCCTGGAAATAAATATGTCTCGAATTATACAGTTACAAAATGGTAATTTGATCTAAAATTAGAATATTTAATCCTCGATGAGGGAAGCCTTGCAGTTGTCTGATAAACTTAAAATTTTGCTAAATTCGTTTTTCCGTCGATTGAAACAAAATGGAAACAGCTAAACATTTAACTATTGAAAAAATAAGTGCCATCCTAGTGTTTGTGTTAAATTTTGCTTTCCTGATCGAAATAATAACACTGAGAAACCTGCAATTGTGAAGGTGAATCGAAAAATGGAATAGAGACTTTTTCTTAGTCCTCTTTCAAACATCTAACAAAATCTTTAATAGTGTATGTATTTAATAGTGTCGGCTTTGAATATGGAAAGAGGCTCATACCATTGCTCAACCCTACTTATAACACAAACTGGTTTATTTGTGGAACGATATTGAAACGGCACTTACTCTCTCTATATTTATTACCGCTAATAACCAAAAGCAAGAGAATGTCAACTATCATATAGTCGCTTTGGTGAATGTCCGAAATATTTGTTATATCCGATTTGATATTAATTTATTCGTTGATATTATTATATTTATTCAATATTTTAATATCTGCTGAGGATAAACATCAGTGTTCGGAGTACCGGTTATATGCATACTAGGCGGTGGTACTTGATCTTAAAAAACATTGATATAGGGTATACCGGGCAGTGGCGAACCTTAAAAAACAGTGTAGCATATGCCGGGCAGTGGAATTTAACTAGACCTATTATATATTTCGGACATTTACCAAAGCAACTATGTGATTGTCAACATTCACCTGTGGAAATCAAAAACTACCAATTTTGGTCATTCACTGTAACATATATAATAAAGGTGACGTTAATTTCCCCACTCTTCACACTTCTCCCTCTCCATTACCATGACTTATGCACATCTTCCCTAGCAAGATTTTTACCTTGGCCCCAATCGGGATCAATATGAAAATGCACCGAGGGATCTATATTGGGATGTCTAGATTTTTTAATATTGGTTGAATATATAACCTTGTATATAACCTTGAGACACTCATTCTACTTACAAAGAGTATAGTTTTAATAATAATTAAAAAATTAAAAAGAAGAAGTTTTAGAAGAAATGCAAGGAGATTTTAAAGAAATAAGACATTGAGGCATAAATTAATAATAAGAAGCATACTTTATTTTTATTTACAATCAATTTGAAAAGCCTTCCTTTATTACAAAAAAACAACCGCATCATTATGACAACTCTATGATTTTTCAAGTGCAGAGGAATAAGAAGGCGAATTTGATCACAGATCGCGGGTGAACGGAGAAATTTTAAGCAGCAACATGAAGCAGAATCTACTTGCTTTGAGGCGAATCTTTTCGAACCTTGAAACCACGAAATGCAGCTTGAATTTTGGTGGCGGCCTGCTCCTGGTCACCTTCATAAGCACCTTCCTGTAGCCAGGACAACTCTTCTTCTGTCAGCTGAGGGCTCTCGATGTTCTGCTCTTTCAGAAACTCCTCGAGAGCAGCATCAGAGGATAGAAGATTCTCGTCCAGTATACTCTTGGCTTGATTCTCTGTGCTAGCGAGCAGGTCGTTTGTTGGAGTGCTTTCTGTAAGAAAAAGATTCGTATTTTCAAATAACTTAATTTTATACTCAAAAATGAGCAACGATTTGAAAAATCAATTTAAAGAACAGCAAAAGTTAATAAAAATAAAAGGTTTGCTGCATTCTGCTTAGGAAAAATAATTCAAGCAACAGCCTATCGTGGATCAGGGAATCATAAGAGTTAAGGCACTGTAATTCCGTGACCAATGAAATAATTGTGGGAATGTGAAGAGTATTTTGCACAAGCCGTCTTACTTCCCAGAAGAGATGGTATACCCAATATTCTCAAGATGGATAGGCTTCAAGTTGCTAGTGTGGATCGATTTCCAGTTCTTCAAAATGACAGCTCAGTGTCTTTAACCAAAGCTAGGTTTTATTCTCAACAACTTTCACAATTATTAACAAATTTCGTCAAAAGAAGTATTTTCAAATTAACCAATATTTGCATTGATTTTTCCAAATCCTAAATCCTTTTTGAGATACCAGACAACTTAATAATGAGAGATATCGTCGGCGTTTCAAGAAATAAGTGAATTCTTCAGAATTGGAAAAGTTCAGCAAAAAAATAATAAAAATAATAACAATAACATGAATTGACTTTTTTTCAGTCAGAACTTGAGTTAATGAAATAATTTTTTTCTCCTTCTTAAAACCAATATTAGAGTTTAATTTGTATGCACATCATAAACATATAAAGATTTAAACTTTTCTTTAGCCTTAAAGATAATAAATGCGAATACATCATTTAGAGATGCAATTGTTACATTTTTGCCGTAATATAGAAAAATGGTAATTTCTAACATCATTGTAGAAATATAACCATCTAAGACTAGACCTATTCAGACAAATACAAAAGACATGATATGAATAAATGTATGGATTCGCGATGTTTAAAAAAACTAACATTGAGGGGTATTATGCAGTGGTAAAGTCTCTATGTTAGTGGAATTAGTGTGCGAAGTAATTACCATGTCTCAAAGAAAAATATAGGAGTGGGTGGATGATAAAGTGCGTTGTTTGCGTGATGAAACATTCGATGGGTGAATCATATCAATGTTTAACCTTTTTGCCTCAGGATACTGGATTGAACGAGACTGTATTCTTACTTTCATTCAGTCCAATTGCTCCCAGTCGTTAAGAATTAAAAAAGAATAAGAAAAAGGAGCTTTAATCATGTGAAATAAAGTTATTTAACTTCTCTTATTTTTTTGAATCTTTAACGCTTTAACCATGGTCTAAGTATAGCTGATTTTTAGGAGTCTTTTAGGTTAAAAATACAATTGATTCAAGTACTAATTAACCAACGTCATCAGCTATTATTTTTGAAATAGACATAGCTTTATACGATAATTTATTAAGCAAATTTCAGCAATATTAATTATATTTTTACAGTGCTATGTTTATTTTTATAGTCCGACTTTCAATGCACAGAAAATATATTCGCAGGCTAAGTCACAGGAACGTGCAATAAAAATTGCTATACTGGTCACTATATAACAGTTACGTTGTTTTGCAGTTAATATCAAAACTTAATTTCACGTGAGCTATAAATCTGTGCTAATCTAATAAAATTTTTTCTCTTTCAGAACCAGAATGAGAAGCAAACTTAAATTGTAAAGTTGGTGCACGAGATGCATTTCCTAATCATATTTTTAATATAAATAATTTATAACAATGATGATATGAGAGAGAAAAAACTTCATTATCACAATGTAAAAAAGTTTGGATTAAATTACCGTAAAAAGCACCGTCTCTCAGGATGACAGTACTTTTTACGGTAAAATCTTTGCGGAACAAAAAAAAATGTTCCGAAATTTTTACAATACTACTTACGGTAAAATCACTGAATCACTTAAATTAAATAAATATTACTGAAAAAGTTAAGGTATAAAAATTTATGTAAAAATGGTTTTTACGGATGCTGCACTCAGGATGCAAGTACTTTTTACAGTTATTGATCGTAATTTTTTACAGAACAGTTGACTTTTTTATTTTATAAAATGTCCCTATTTTAGTTTCATGCCATAGTAAAGAGTAATTTTAGACAAAAAATAAATCAGTTTTATATGTAAATGAATCCTTCAATTTTTTAACATGGATTATGCTTGAAAATCGGCAATTTTAATGAATGTATAATTTACGGAAATAAATTTATTAACGTACATTTTTTTAATATATTTCTGTATCTTAAGCATATTTATTAAAAGTTTTATAAAGTATGAAACAAATATTGTATGGAGAAAAGTCACTAGCTTCCATAACAATTACAACAAATTACAATCTAAATGATCTTTAATAATTCTTTAAAAAATATTTTTTTAAAAAACCATCCACCAAGGACATAAACATTTTTTTTTCTTCCTTTCGTTATATAATATAATAAAATGAAAAATATTAAACAATATATGGTGGTCAAGGAAATTTTTAGTAAATATATTTCATATCAAAAATTAATCATAACTATTTTTTCGTAACACAAATGTGTTTTAAAATATTAAAATTTCAGCTTTCTCTTCTAGTTTAAGATATGGAGGAAAAAAAATACAGCAAACACGAAATAAAACATGGAAAAAGCATATGCAGAAAATAACTTAAATTTTAGGTTAAAAATAGATAGTCATATACTTACTCAATTTTCTTTTAGTCCTATGTCAGCATGAAATAATTTGAAAATTAATTCTTATAAATACAGTAAAATGTATAATAAATGTATATCAGATATGGAATCAAGCTAAGCTTTTCAATGTATTTTTAACATGCAAACTTTCATTCTTTAAGAACAGCTATAAACGATGTCATGTTAACGACCCTAGGGGTCGATATATTATAATTAGGAAATGATCCGGTCAAGGGGCCCATGAATGAATGTCAATCACAAAGATTTTAAAAATTAAGCTATGATTTTAATTTACACTTTGGAGACATTGAAAATATGGATATCCCAGAATGGATTATCGCCCCATTTTTTCTCAAGTTGAAAACATCGACAGCCAAGATGAAGTTATTGAGCTATTATTAGGTCTTGAAGCGGTTAAACGATTTAACTATAAGTTAAATTTTGGACAAATATAAATATCACACAAAAATATTCAATTCTTGGTAACGCGACAGTTCACTTTTTCATTGCATTCCCAAGCTCATGTATGGTTGAATTTGGCTTTAGTCATTTTAATTCTATTAACAAAGCAGAGAAAGAAAATTGAATGTGGAACTCCGATGCTATTAAAGACTGAAACTAACTAACTTCGTTGCTAATTTATCAAAGCATCATCAATCACATCTTTATCCATTGATAAATATATGTAAAAGATTGAGTTTGTCAAAAAGAAGAAAATCCTCTTCGAATCAGGTCAGCTTTTTTTCCCCTTGTTTATCACTTTTTACAGGGGAGGTTGATAAGAGAATTATAAATTTTTTGAAGATCAATGATCAAAAAAGTTTGGCGGCCCCTGATTTAGATCTTTTAAAAGATGACATATTTCAAATAAAAATTTTAGTTTTTACACTTTATAAAGTAATAAATTGTATAATTAAAGCTAGTATCATAGTAAATCAGTATCAATGTCATGATGCCCGAAGAAAGAAAGTTATTGGGGCCATTTTCATCATATGTTAGTCAACATTGAATTTTTTAAAAAAAAAAAAATCGAATATTATGAGTAATCTATCAGTTTTAGAAATTAAGGAGCTTTAACTAAGCATTTAACACTTGTCGTTCTTATCTTTCATGTTAATAAGCATTATTTGATTTTGTTATACTATTTTTAAACATATTCAGTAAAATATGCAAAACTCAGCAAATGCATAGATCTCTTTAAAGACAACCCTTATATTTAATTTATAAGCCCTTAAGAAACCAAATAAGGCAACAGAAGTAAAAAATTGCGATAAAACTAACGCTAAAGTAATTTATTACTTTAATTATTGATGCCAAATCAGTTTGAATTTACTCAAAAATATTATTAAGATTTTTGTAAACGTAATAAAATAAACAAAATTTTAGATTCGTTTTTTCCCCCCAAGGAAATGAGACTACACCTAGGAGAAATAAAATAAAAAAGCGGCAACACATAAAATTACGCTTTCAATATATTTAAACAACACTATATAACAAGATATTGAACATTAGTATTAAATAAAACTGTCTAAATCTGTTCAGATTACTGATTTCTGTGAAAGAAATTTGCTTTTTTATTAAAAAAAAAAAAAAAAAAACATTTACTAACGAAACAAAATTAAACATGCATTTTTCTAAGGATGAAGTCATGTTATTAATGTAAGACGGAATAGCAGAACAATTAAGTAAGAAAAAAAATTGCATCACGAATAAATTTTTTTCGAAATTCAAAATTTCAAATCTATTAATTGACTGTCACTGTGATGACATTTTTACCAAAAATTTTTTTTAAGTATAATTAAAAATTCTTTAAATTTTCTGGGGTAAAATCTTTAATTTCTTTTAAAGTACACACGCAAAACAAAATTTAGAATTCAAAAATGAAAAATTATAAGTTTAAAAAAAAATGCGAAGTATTAGGTGTTAAAAAAATATAATGAAATGTAGCCATTAGGCCTTCAGTAACCTTGCAGAAAAATCTTAATTTTCATTACCAACACATATTTTTAATTTAGAACTCAATTTTTACAACAATTAATGTGAATTCAGGAGTGGATTAAGGTTTTCCTTTAGGTTCTGAAAAACCCAAAATTCACATTTCATATATAACCTTATTTACTGCTACTTTACAATTAAAGCTTCTAAACTTTATATTCACAAAAAATAAATAAAAATTTAAATTCAAAAAAAGAATTTAAATTAAAATAAAAATCTAGTTAATTAAATTTTTAAATATTTCCTGTATCAGGAAATCGAGAATTTTAATTGATTATTAAGCATTTAAAAATAATTAAGAGTGAAATTAAATGTCAAATTACTGAGACTATTTACCAGGGATTAACAACTAATAAATAAGCGAAAAACTCTTTCAAGTTTCACTAAAACCTACCTTTTTAGTATTATTGCGAAATTAAGTTAATCATTATTTAATGATGCGTTATGATTGCAAAGTTTGGTAAATAAATAACGATTTGTGTGTAAACTACCTATATGCGTTGCAATCTGGAAATCATTTTCAATCAATTCCTACCTTAAAAAAAAGAATGTGTTTGAATAAAAAAGAGTCTAAATTTTAGCAGCCAGGAATTAATGAAATCGAAATAAGGATCATCACAATAACCTTAAAATATTTTATATGTTTTATTTTTTTTTTTAAATTTTATTTACTAAAGGAGAAAAATAGAAATGGCAAGAGAAGGAACGTTAACGGGACAGAAATGGTGGGATGAAAACGTCTTGCTTCCTCAAATTTTGCCTTATTCAAGAGAATTTTTTTTAAAAAATGGCTAATGAGGGACGGAAGAGGGTAACACAAATTACACTTATGAGTTATGTTTGTTTTCATACTAACCTTTGTCATCTGAAGTGTCTGTTTTTTCTTTCTTTTCTTTTAAAGACTTTCTCGTTAAATATCCCCGCACACCAGCTTGTATTTTAACAACAGCTTCGTTTATATTACCCGTACCATCGTCCACTGCCTGAAACACAAATAATGACACTTCAGAACATTAAAGCGATTAAGAACAATTGGCGAAAAAAAGAAAGAAAATCTTTCGTAAGTAGAAAGTCAAGGCCACACAAATCACGCCCAAATAAGTATTTTTTTTTTATTTGTAATCAACTTAAACAATAAACAATTCTGAAATTCAATTGTAAAAACGAGAGATATCATTTTGGATTAAACAATATCTGATCTTGAAATAAAAAGGGATAGGTTAAGGTAATTTACTCAAGATGCTTAAAAATAAAAAATAAAAAAAAATTTATAAATAAAAGAATGAAAGAAATGTAGTTCTTGAACAGAAGGGGAAAAAAGAAAGGTTGGAAGAAAGAAAAGATTACTTACGCGTAATCATTCATTAATTTCCATTTTGGGTAATTTTTTTCATTTTTTATTACAAACATATTTATTTTATTTTCAGTTTATTTTGGCTTTGGGTAAAAGAAAACTAAAAACAATAATGGAATTTCAAATCAAGATTAAAAAGGCAAATGAAAGCGAGTGGATGAAATGAAAGTGATTCTATCAGAATAATGTTTAGTTTAATACCTTGATTACTATTTGGCTCAAAATAATTCAGAAATCTTTATTCCCTGATGAATTCGTCAGAAACATAAATATAAAAATTAAATTCTCAGCATTCGGTAATGGCAACTAAAAATCAGAAAAATTAATAATCTAGAAATCCTGAATAATTTTTAGTCCAATTCTTTGATTTCTATTAATTAAATTGCTGTGCACGTAATACAATAAAAATATTAGTTGCGTGGTTAAATGAAGGGTGTTTATTTAGGGACTAATACAATAAATTTTCATAATTAAAAAAATTAACTTAAGAAGTTAATACCAGATAGCAAGGTCTGAAGAACAGGAATACGTATACTGTATACACATGCATTGTTTAAAATTTTGAAGGAAAATTTATATATAATTATAATAAACTATACCTTAAAGCTTAGTTTTTAAGAAAATTTGCTCTGCTAGGTTTCAAGAAACTATTGAACATTAGGAAAAAAAATCGATATTTCCTACGAAATAAATATCAACGAAAGGTCATCAATATGTTGACTGACAATGTATACTTTTGCATACAAAATAAATAAAAAAAAATATCTCAGCAAAAATCGGGAATTAATAAACTCTAATAAATTTATCTGAAACCCCAAAGTAAAAGCTAACATAGAATAAAATATCGCTCCTTGAAGGATATAATAGCAAAGAATTAAGTGAAATAAAATACTCACCTTAACCAGAGCTTCTTCTGCTTGTTTCTGAATTCCCTGTACACCTTGAGTAGCTGAACCTAGTACAGATGATTGAACTTGTGTCAGAGAACCTAAAGCTGCTGTAGGAATTTCTTTAAGATCTGAAATGGCGCCCATTGCTTTGGTCTGTACATCAGCGATGGTGTTTTGTATATGTTTTGGAACTTCTTGTACAGTTTGTATAACTTCTTGTGATTTTTCCTGAACTCCTGACAGCACTTGTTGCAAATTTTTTCCAACGCCACCAACTGCATTTTGAGCACCTCCCGTTAGAGCACCAAGAGCTGCCATTGGCATTTGTTGAAGACTTGCAAGACTATCTTGACCTTTAACTTGAATATCAGACTCGGTCTTTTTCACTGTCTCTGTTACATTTTTTAGACTTTCTTCAGCTTCATTCTTTTTGTTTTGTAACTCAAGACTAGCTGACGATACGAAGCCTTCTGTTTTGCTTTTAATTTCATTTGCTTTATCTTCAGCTTGTTTAGTGGCTGATTGAACTTGAGATTCTACATTTCCAATTTGGGATTTAAATTGGGATTCAGCGGAAGAAATTGTTGCTGCAGCTTTTGATTGCAACTGAGATTCTGCTTCCGAAACTTTTGATTTTAATTGGATACTAGCAGTGGAAATTGCATTCTCTGCTTGTGACTGGAAACCTTTTACTTGATTTTCAGCTTCCTTTGCCTTATTTTGTAGCTGAGCCGTGGTACTGGTTACAGCACTTTCAGCGGAAGTTTGAAGGTTCTTGAGGGCTGTTTCTGCTTCCCGAGTTTTTGAATCAAGTTCACTTTGGGCTTTATTTTGAAGGTCTTGCACCTTTGCTTCAGCTTCTTTCTGTTTCGTTTCAATAGTTTCTTGTGCTTTTGACTGAAGATTCTGCACAGCACTTTCAGCATCACGTACTTGTGCTTCAGCTTTGGAATGAAGATTTTTCACAGCTGCTTCAGCTTCAGATGCCTTACTCTGAAGCTGAGAGGCAGAATCTGAAACAGTTTTTTCAACCTTGCTTTGAAGATTCTGAGCGGCAGTCTCCGCTTCCTTTGCCTTTTCATCAATTTGACTGGTGACTTTTGCAGCATTTTGTTGGGCTTTGGCTTGAATATTTAAAACAGTAGCCTGAGCTTTTGCGTGCACATCTTGAATACGGGATTCTAGCTCAGCATTTGCATCGGCTATGCTTTTCTCGGCTTTAGATTTCATATCTAAAGCAGCTGTTTCAGCATTTTTGATATTTGAATCAATTTGTGCTTGAGTCTTAGATTGAAAATTTTGAAATTTATTTTCTGCCTCTTTGGTTTTAGATTGAATTAATTCATTCGTGTCAGACACTGCTTTTTCAGCTTGTGATTGGGTTTCTTTCAATTTATTTTCTGCTTCTTTTGCTTTATTTTGAAGTGCTGATTGAGTTGATGAAATGGACTGTTGAACCTTTGATTGCGTTTCTTTAGCTTTGTTTTGAATGTTTTCAGTAGTATCTTGGATGGCTTTCTCAGCGTCAGACTTGGCTTTATTCAATTCTCCTTCGGTTTCTTTTACTTTGGCTTCAGCTTGTCCTTGCAATTGACGAGCTCCTTCTTCCAGCTCTGCCGCTTTATTTTGCAACTCCTTGTTAGCATCAGCAGCAGCACTTTCGAGTTTATTTCCTGCATCTTTTGCTGATTTTGTAAATGAGTTGAAGCTTGAACTAAGGGATTTTTTCTAAAATTAAAATGATAACATAAGAAAAGAATAATGTTAAAAGTAAATACAAAACCTATAAATCTTCAAGAAATAAGAGGTAATATCATTACGTTTCGCAGCTTTTATTATCAGGATGTTTTTCCATAACGAAAATATTTTTTCTTCTGATTTTTAACAGTTGGGTATTTGCACTTCACGAAGATCACTGATACCAACACATGTGACCTATGACGTCAACGCCAGCTAATCATTTATTAGCAAAATGGAGTGTTAAAGTTAAGCTAAGTTTCTCTACGTAAGTTAGAACGTTAATTAATTTGAAGTTATTTAAATACAGTTATTTAAATACAAGTTAATTAAATGAAGTTATTTAAAACTAATTATGCACATCGAATTTGTTAAAATATATATAATTCTTTCTTGTCTGTTTCTTTTACTTAACTTAGATTTATTATTTGTTTATGCATTTTATTATAAAAAAGATACATTTTTGTTTTGTGTACCTGGCAACTTCAATGCATAATTAGTTAGTTTATGTTCTACATGGCATCGTGCCTGTGTTTGTGAAATTTATAAAGCGAATTGAAAGCCTTCTTGAACATAATTATAAAACTATTTTTTAAAGATAATTCCTTGCAAAAATAATTTGTACTAATTTATACACTATTATTTTTTTAATAATCGAAAAAAAATTTAAATTGTAAAAAATAAGTATTTTTACATCATTTAAGATCAAATTATTCAATCATTTCAAATCACGAAATACAAAACTTAAATAGAATCGTTTGAATAGTTTTTGGAAAATAAAAATTTTGACATCATCATTTTTCAGAATTTTTTTTTATTTATTATTATGGAGAGAAGTCAGTAGTAAAGAGCTTCAAATAACTTTTTGATTAGTTTTTTTTAAAAGGTGGGTCGTAGATTTCACTTTATTATGTCAGGAATTATTTAGGATGAATGAAAAGAAACAAAAGTGATTTGAAATCACTTGTTTCTTCTCATTCACACCTGAAAAGTCTTGATAATGGGCGCCTATTTTTGAGCGCTTAAGACATGTCTACTTTTATTTGTATTTGCATATTCTTGAAGCCAAAGAAGCTTTATCTAATCAAGTAATATTGATTTCGTTCTTATTCTTTGTAGGTATTTTTAATTTTTGTAATTTATTTAATATAAAATTTGTATAATAATTATTAGCTACTATATCACTTCTAATGTTTTAAAATTTATTAAAGAAATATATTATCGAATTTTTTTTGAAGGTGAAGTGTGAATGTATATTTATTAGTTTCACCTACTAATGTAAACGAACTCCCGACAGCGTAACGCATGTTATATCTTAGCAACTTCGTGGTGTGAAAAAAATAATGTATAGAAGCTTTTTTCAGGGACTTTAATAGCTCAAATTTACATTTTGTTTCTGTCATAGATGGAAGAAAAAAAATTAAAAATGCATTTATTATTCGTACAACAGATATGCGTACAATGCGTCAATAAAAACTCTTATCAATAGCTTCGTTACCTTCACCTTACACGTGACTTTATAAAATTGTTTATAAAGCGTTTAGTCTGAGGTAAATCACTGAACATAGATTTCCCACTTATTTCATGCGTTATTGCGTGCCAATGTTGGAAAGGTAATTTTCGGCCACTATTTTTTTTGCCAAAGTCCACCCGATTGACACTCGTCATTCAGGTAACAGTAGAGCAGATTTGTCGGTCACTCTTTCAGGTGCATCGTATTACGTGGTCAACGTCATTTCCTCAGTGATGACAGAAAGTACAGAGAATGAAAGGACATCCATTCCTTGACCAGGATTCAAACTCAGGACCTTTCTGATGACCATTACACAGTCTGGCTGACAGGGATACTTTTTTAATTTGCTCAAACTTATTGTCTATACAAAATGAGTTATATTTCTCTTTAATTTAAAGTACTCGAAAAAAAAAACAGGATAATTGTTAATTATATAAGAATTATTTCATTGATTTCCTTTTATGATACATTTAAAATTTACTTTTGATTTTAGAAGTAAATGTTTTTTTAATCTCTCAGGAAGTTAGCAAAATAATTCTTTTGACAAATAAATATTATTATTCATATAGATATTTCCGACTCATTATTATTTCATTAGAAATTTAATAAAAAATAGAAAATATTTCAATTTTATTTTTTAGTTTCAGCTCAAATGCAGTTCCACAGTTTTTTATTTTGAAGTTTCGCCTTGATAAAATCAAAGGAATTTGGATATCAATTTTTGCATTATTCAAAAATTTATTTTACAAAAAACTAAGCAATTAGATTATTTAAAGAAGCGAACAGAAATCAATTTAAAAAAAATAAAAATAAATTGAAATATTGATCAAATACTTACAGCTCTTTTAAACATTGCACACTAAATAATTTCCAAACCAACTCTTTAACAAATGCGAGATAATAATAAAACGAAACATTCTAAAGAGATTAGTCAAGCAGTCTTATGGGCGTATAATAATAATGAAAACCGGTTTTTAAAAAAATGTTTACAGCATTGAGAGACCTCGTGATCTTTTTTAAATAATTCATGCTATGAAATTATAGTAGGCAAGTCACTTTCATTTGCATCATACTCGTATATTCAGTATACGAATGCTTAGAACAAAGTTAATTTAGCCTTCACCCTGATCGTGGTTGTTGCCAAAAGAATAACAATAAATAAAAAAAAGCTTAATGTGCATGTTGACTATTTCCATCGCAGAAAGCAGTAAGTTGAGAAACCGGAAATAAGCTTCACTTTTAATAATGAGAGTTATCAAAAAATAAAAGAATAAACAAATTAATGGAACTGTGATTGTTTTCCAAACAATGTACGAAAACGCATTTCTTTAAATAGAACGTAGAATGAGAGATATAACAAACAAAACTGTGATTAAAAAATACGAAAAGAAACATATTTTCCACCAGATCGCATAAATATATTAAATAATAAAAAGGGGCATACCAAAAGAGCCATGGCTAACGGTGAAATTATTATTACTATTATTACTTACTATTATTGTTACTTATTATTTTCTTATAACTATTATTACTTTATAACATATTAATAATATCTGTTTTATCATAGAATAATTTCTGCATTGTATTTACATAAAAATAAGTTTATAACAGAGATTTAGATTTTTATGAAAATATATCGTTCCAGCGTATTTTTTCTTTTGCTTTATCTCTTATAATTTTTTTTTTAATTTTGTAACCGTCGTTTAACAGCCGACCCAATTTTAGGATTTACGACTGCTAATATTTAACTGCATAGTCTTGTAATTTTGAACCTAATCCAGAAGACAAGGGAACTTCTGGATCAAGTATTGGAGACATGATTTATCTTTTTTCCTCTCTCGTTATTCTTGAATACTTAGGGGTTTCGAACAGGGGTTCCCCTCGCGCTATCCCGTAACGAAGGTATTAATCCGTATTTAACGGTAGTTTGTCGCATTCTTACGTAATCTCTCTTGTTGCTTATGCTTACATTGGCTGGATTTATGATTCTAATTTGTTATGCGACATATCTAACGGAAATTACTGTAATCAAATGAAAAATACAGTATTTATTTAAAAAACATTCCTTTCGACTTTTTTTTTCTATTTTTTTTTCCAAGATAGAGAGAGGGGAATAAATATTTTTCTCAATACTTTCGCCAAAACGCAATTTTTCCCGCTGAATTTAAGATTTTATCGCATTTGGCGAGTTGCCGAATGCTTAGTGCGGGCCCTGTATCCCAATAAAAGAGATAAGTTTAATAATTTACATAATTTAAAGAATATTGAAAATTCTTTTTTTAAATATCCATACATTAAAAGCTTGTTAAATTCTTAACAAAAATGCTAAACTTACATGCATCTATTTTCACGCCAAAATTCAAATACTAATATTCAAAATTTGTTAGTTTTATAGTATATTAATATTCACACAAATAACAAAGCAGAAAATAAATCTATTATTTTCACTAAATATGTTTGCTATGTTTCAAATAAACTACGTTTCAAAAATTTTGTTAAAAAACTAGTGAAATGCCAATCGGTGAATAGAAACTTCCAATTTTAAAAATGAAATTTAAAGATGAATTTTCCAGAAATTTTTAGAATTATAAAAATGATAAACTTTTATTCAAATTATAGCGCTTAGTTTAAAATTAAGCTCAATCCATTTTTTACACACTTAACTAAAACCTTTTCTTTAAAAAAAAATCCAATTAAATTTAAAACTAAAGCTATTATTGAATCAATAAACGATGCGCCATATTGATAATTTTTGTAAAACATAAAAATCAATCAATAAAATACGTTCAAAAAAAGATGATATATTAACTTATAGATCTTTTTCTTCCATAAACTTTATCTTAACAGTTCAAAGTATTAATTTACATGCAAAAGCTAAAATTAAGAGATAAAGGTAGTTTAGAATCTAACTATAATACTCAATAAAATCATATTTTTATAAGCATTAGTAAAGATAAAGAATTGAAAATCTGTTCATGATACTTGATTGCTTTTAAATGACTGCGACGTCTCTTTATTTTTAAGGCATGATAAGTTTTTAGTAATTTGTGTTACTTTTGTATTAACATTTTTCTGAAATTTAAAGTACGGAAACTTAGAGGGCTTCTAATCTTATTATCTTTTGCGGTAATCATTCTAATTAGCAAGCGTTAAAAATTTATAGTTTTTATTATAGGCCAATATTACAAATTAGAAGGTCTCGGGCCTTTGATTTTGGAGATCATTCGAATTAATAAATGTTAAACAATTATAATTTAAGTTCATTACTAACAGTACAAATTAAGAGAGCCTTGAGTCTTGTTAGTATATCCGTCCAAATTTGTAAGAAAAATATAATTTTGGTTAAATATTAATAATACAAATTAGAGAGCCTCATACCTTTAAAAGTTAGACAACTATAATTAATGCTCAATACTTATAGCAAAAATTTTCTTTTTCAACGCATGCAAGCACTCCACACTTCACACGGATAAAACACAAACACTCTACGTTTATACAAATATTATTGTTGGGTCATCGTGCAAGCACATTTTTAAGCTTCCTTCTTTTTTGTGCGAAGGACTTAAAAACACAAAATGCTTGTTATTTCTATTTTTAAGACACACGCTATGCAAACCGAATGCACACATTTTTCATGCGGAACTTGCCTCGTTTTCGATTTCAACAGAATCGTGTGCCTGGGTGTTTGAAGTAAATAAACCGCTTGGAGGTGTAACAATTTCCGTTTTAACTTCCTCTCTTATAACTGGATGAAAAACTTCCGAAGATGTTTGGCTCACAAAAGAGGTTGGTCTGGAAGTCGGAGTTTCTGACATAAAACTGAGAGAATCCTATTTTAAAGGAAGATTGATCCATGAATGAGAGAGTGAAAAGATTGCCCTCTTTTATGCCCGAAGTTTTGTTTAATTTTTCTAATTATTAAAATTTCAAGGAGACTAGATCCTATCGTTTTTATTAAGGATGTCATCGGCTGGTATGAATAAATTTTGAAACTACTGACAAAATCATTTAAATGCCCAATTATTACATTTATATCAAATGCAAAAAATGAGAAATTATAAATTTCTATCTCTTAACGTTGACCCATTATATCGCACTGAGAATTAAAGTATGGTCAAAACTATCAGAATGTGTGGTAATAAGAACTATAATTTAGAAATTTTCCGGTAAACCATAACCATATGAACGGTTTAAATACTGCATATTTTGTTTTTATTAACGGAATTATAGTATTTATATCCAGAAATATCATTACCATAATTTTACCAGAATTTTGGTCTTCCTCCAGTGCCTGTAATATCATTACATCAGTACCCATAATATGTTCGCCCCCATCCTGTTTTCAAATAATATTGTAATAGTTTTAAGCAATTAATTTATAAAAAAATTTTTCATAATATTTGATCAAAAATTTTTAAAAGTTTAAAATCTATATACTATGAAGTATTCTTAAACATGCATTTTGTTTTGAAATGTATGTTACCGGCAAAGTATAAAACGACGGCGTTGTGTTTAATGCTGGAACTTTCTAGGCAAAGTATAAGTATGAGATTTATTACATACTTTCTCCAGGCATTGTATAATACAAATCATACCTAGACATTCAATAGGGAGTTAGACAAAGTATGAAACTATTTAAGCAAAGTGAGAAAAGAGATCTTGATAAGGCTATTATATAAATGAGGCGCACCCTACAAAATACAAATGTTATTATGAAAAAATCATGAAATATCATTAAAAAAATATATCAAAATGCGTAAAGAAAAATTAAAGTTGTACAAAACAAAATTTATGCCTTTCTTATTAAGGAAATTAAAATTTTCATATAAAAAATAAGAAATTAAAATTAACTAAATGTTGTAACATGGTAGATTTGAATGAGATTTAAAATTTCATTTCATTAGATTCGAAACAAAAGGGAGATGTATTTCATACATTACGGTTTTTTTCATTTGGCATTCTAAAGAATGCTTAGGAAATGTGTGAAGTATGAATCGTTTCATACATTGCACACTTGTTTTAGACATTATATACAACGCCTAGGCATTCTTTGGAATACCGGATTCCAAACTTCGCTGGTAACATATATAATATCTAAAAACATTGTCAACACAATATCGTTTATGCAGTTATAATAAATAAAAATAGTTACCTTTGAGGAAAATGATGGGAAAAATGATTTCTGTAAAAAAAAGAAATAATTAAAAATGATCATCTTAATATTGTTCTTCAACTCAAAATATATTTTCAATTTATATGTACTTACACTTTTTTTCTCTTTTTCTGCGGGACTTTTATTTTCTTCTACCTTTACACTTTCCTGATATTCAGTAAAAACTGTTTTCTAAAAGAAAGAAAATACACGAGATAAGAATATATTCTGATCAGATATTTTTTAAAATGCAAATGAAATAAATATTTTTGAAAGCTGGTTGATTTACTAGAACTCACATATTCAAGTGCAGTAATACATCAAATAGAAATCTCCAAGAATCAAAAATTTACATCTACGATTCAATTCTCAAAATCATGAGAATGTTAAAGATAAAATTCTTCATTCCCTTTACTAACCTTTACACTGAGAAGAAAATAAGGTCAAAACTATAAGAATATGGTAAAATTTACAGTGTTTCTGATTTTACGAAAACACAAATACCTTGGTAATTTTTACCGAAGCACTTTGGTAATGATTTTGGTAAAATTGACAATAAAATACTGTTTTATAATACGTATTAAAATTAAGCGAATGGAATAAAATTTGGTAATTTTATCATTATACCAGTCCAGAGCAAGGCATAAAAACCATTTATTCGGTTAAATTTACTTTTCAGTTTTGTACGAACACTAAATTTGTGTTTCTAAACTAAATGTGTGGTAATAAGAATTATAATTTTGAAAACAGGAAATTCCGGTATCACATGAGCGAAAAATTATCAATGAGTGGTTTAAATACCGTATATTTTGGTTTTATTAAACAGAATTATATTTTTCTTTTTACCAGAATGTCTTTACCATACAGTACTGTAACTTTACCAGATTGTTTTTCTTCGTGTGATAAGCAGTTGAAACTGTCTCAGCTGTCTATAAAATTTTATATTTGAAATATTAGTAGCAAGTCCAGCTTCTAAAAATACAGTTTTTTAAGTTTTTTTTTTTTTGCTGCAGTCAGCCTAAGAAGAATCTACCTAAATAACTTTTCATCTTAAAATCATCATTCCATACATTAAGACTCAAATGCTTAAAGAGTAAACTGTAAATATGCTTAGTACTATACTCGTGAAGTTTATTGTCCAAAAGTAACTAAAAGTAAACATTTTGAAAGATAAATTAGATATTTTTATTAATAATTTAACAATTTGCAAACTATCTTTAATTACTATTATGAAATGTTTCACATTGTCTTAATTATAGTTATAAATGACAAAGTCAAAAATTTTAACGAAATTTGTGTAATAAAACGTGAGAAACTGTTTTCTAGAAATGTGTCATTTTTAATTCGAAATAAATAATATTTTGTTTGAATCAGTGACAAAATTTCATTCAAATTTTGGATTTTTTTTATGTTTTACATTAAATTAAATTACATTGAATTTTTTGTTAATAGTTTAATACTCTGTAAAAAAAACTTTCGATCCAATAAGATCAGAATTTCACGTGCTAAGACTCAAATTAGAGACTCAGAGGGTACACATTAAATATGCTGATTAGTTAGTGATACATTGATAAACTATTCAAAAGTAATTACTTAATTATTACAAATAATTACAAAAATCTTAAATGATAATTTATGTTCTTATTAATCAATTTTTAATTACCGAAACAAATTAATAAATATTATAAAATATTTCGCATTATCCTAGTTGATTTAGTTTTAAATGAAAAAATCAAAAATTTGAACGAAATTTGTGCAAGGGCACATAAGAAATAAGAACTCACTCAATCGAATTCATTCAAAATTCGGATTAAGTCGTTTAAAATTAAATTTCATTAAAGATGATGTACTTTTTTTATTTAACTTAAAATAACAAATAAATTATTATTAAAAATTACGTTTTACGTTGAGAAATTTGGTTAAATAAGTTTTATAAATTCCTGCAAAAAAAAATTATAAGTAACAGAGATATTTAAACTTTTGATGCTTCAAATTAAATGTAGTTAAACGTAGCATCAAATTAAAGGTATTTTTCCTTCTTTTCTTCTTTTTTTATAACAAAAAAAAAGACTCTCAACTCTATAATAACAAATTCGATTCCTTCCACGGGTAAAATTCATTTTTGCTGATCATACTGTAAACCAAATCGCAAAAAACGATAAAAAATTACGACGAAAAAAAATCATCAGTTACATTTTAATACAGCAAAACATAAAAATAAATAAAAATAATTAACAAAAAGAAGGGAAAATAGTAAAATTCTGCGGCAAATTGATGAATCACTGCATTCAAATAGAGAATTTATGATACATTTCGAAATTCATTTTATATTTTGTTATTACTAAGAAAATAAAATTAAAAAAATTAAATTCGAAATAATTATTGCAAACGTTAAATAAATAAAAAAAATTATAACAGTCGACATAGTCTAAAGAAGACTAGTAAGCATACTAACTGTAACTCTCGTGTATCGTATTTGTCAAACCTGTATTAATTTATGTATTGTTTATTATCTAATAACAATTAATTAAATAAAGTAATAAAAAAATTACAAACGTGTAGTAAAGCGTAACAAAGAGTTCCTTATCGAAATTCAGTAAACTTTGCAGTTTCTATATTTACTTTTATTTAAAAGCTTTCAATCGCTTTCGGGCATTCACTACAAAGAGATTTTACGATTTCAGGAGAGATTTTGTGCTTAAAGGGCAGATCATAAAATGAAAACTAATGAGAAATGCCGAGCTGCTTTCTTGGAGATGATCCAAACTTGTTAACAAAATCAATGCCAAAACCTTGACCTAAAAGGACATTCATAATATGCCTATCACTTTTTTTTGCCCCTTACGTTTTATTACTATCGTATTTTTATCTATTTATTTATATATATATATTTTTTACAATACAGTATGATGAAAAAACATTTATCTTTTGTTTAAAGGAGTATAACTTAAAAATAAATTTCCCATTAACTTTTGACAAGAAATTTATTACCTATTTTTTTATATTCACTAAAAAGAATATTGATTATATTCATATAAGGTGGTACAATAAATAACAAATAAAAATATCAGTTTACTTTATTTGTATGAGTTGCAATTAAAATCTCTATAGATTGAAAACTTTTATTTTTTTAGAGAAAATACTTTTTTTTAACTTATATAATAAAAATTTTTAATTATTATTATTTTAAACATTTTTCCACCTTCTTAAAATCGCTTACGAGATTGAATTATATAATGATTAAATAACCATTCAAAGGTTGAATCACCATTACTAAGATGGAAGGTTGAGCCTATTATCAACTAATCATGTTCAGAAATGGTTAATTTGTACGATAACCGAGAGATTTTGCATTTAGCAATAAAAAAGGTCAAAACTACCAAGATATGATAAAATTTACTGTGTTTCTGGCTCAATGAAGACGGTAAAATATTCGATAATTCCTGCTGAAACGTTTCGGTTATTGTTTTGGTAAAATTAACCATAAAATATGGTTTTATAATATGTGATAAAATTTGGTGAATGAAGTTAAATTTGGTAATTTTATCATGATATCTTATACATGGCTTAAAAACTATATATTCGGTTTAATTTACTCATATTTTGTTTTACTAAATATGTGGTAATAAAAACTACAATTTGGAAAACTAGAATTTCTAGTAGACTATTACTTTACGAACAGAAAAAATACTTAATGAATGGTCTAAATATCGTATTTCGGTGTTTATTACCAGAATTATGTTTTTCTTTACCAGAAATATCATTATCATAAAGTACGGTAATTTACGAGAATTTCACTATAGTATTGCTACAAGTTGAAAATATGGTTAGTGTTACGAGAAAAGCAAGATAAACGCTATGCAAAATGTCTTTAAAATAATTAAACATGACTCGGTTTTGAGGTTGCAAGCAATCGGACTATCATCATGAGTTGACGCATTCCAAATTTTTTAACAGTGCGAAAATGCATATTTGTTTCAAAGCTTCGAATTCAGAACTGAAAGTTTATTATTATTATTATTTTACCTTTTTTAAGGTTTAAACGAACAAATTTCAAAACCTTATTGGTTTTTTTTAAACTATATAAATCAAAAATAATCTGAAAAAAAAGTTGCAAAATATAGATAAGTACAGGTATAAGCAAATAATATACAGGTAAAAACCGTGGAAAATTTTGTTAATAAAATGCTGTTGATAGCTAAATTTGTCATTTGCTCTCCTTTGTTTATTGAAAATTATGCCATGTGATTGTTTTTTCCAGTAAAAATTCTCATAAAAGATAAAAGTCAGAGAGTTGTTTGGACAAGTCTGTTTTTATATTAGATAGAGAAATTTGTGAGAGTAAATCTATGTTAAATCAAAAGTAAATATTAAAACAAATTGTAGATTAGTGAAAGTTAATATGAAAAATACGATAGTATATATAATTTCGTTTCAGTAATAATAAATTAAACATAATTGGTAAATTAATTTAGAACATTTTATGGAACATAAGTATTTAATACAAGAAAATTTTGAGTGCTTAAAAAAGTGTTTTATTAAATGGTACTATTTAAAGTGGTGAACAATTTTACTTTTAATAAACAATTTGAAGAAAATGTTTTTTTTTTATATTATGGATAAAATAAAACAATAATTCTAAAATTATGCTTGATATGTTCGAAATAAATAATGTATGCATAAAAATATAAGTATTATTGATTCACAACCTATAAGCTAAATAATTATCAGGTAACTCTCATTTAAATATTTTTCTTCTTCTAGGGTTTGAGTTTTATTTTGTAAAAGTTAAATATTAATTGTGTGTTATACAAACCAATTTTCATCTATGAGTCACTAGAACGTAGTATATATATCGCACATGGGCTGCAATAGTGGCACAACTAAAAAAACACGCGTTTTGGACTAAGAACAGGTGTAAATATGAAAATACACATTCTTTTCTGTAGCAATACTTGCACAACTCATAATTCAACTTGAAGATAATCTTCGTTTAAGCAAACTAAAGCATTTCTTATGCATTTTCCTTAGCATATACAACTTAAACTCACTTATCTCAAAACATGATTTTTTTGAGTTGTGCCGCTATTGCAGCCCATGAGTGATATATCACTTGTCTAAGTTTAAATATCTGGAATTAAAGTTTTATTTAGTAAAATTTATCAATTATCAACAATCGATTGTAGTCTTTAAGTTACGGGTATGTAGTCTACGTGTCACTCTAAGTTAAGTATAAGTTAAGTTACCTAAGAGTCTAAGTTAAATTATCTAAGTGTCTAAGTTTAGTTATCTGGCATAAAAGTTTTTTTCAGAAAAGTTAATCAATAGTTAATTTTTATTAACAATCAATTGTAGTCTATAAGACACTGGTATGTAGTCTATGTGTCATTGGTCTAAGTTTTGTTACCTGGGATTAAAATGTCATGCTGAAAAAAGTTAATCAAATATTTCTTTGTTTAAAACACTTTTTATAATACACTCATGCACAATTGCGAACTAAATGAAAGCAGTATATCATTTTTGGGTTAAATAGTTGCAGCAATCATTTTAAAAAGCAACAGAAAATAAAATAAAAAGGAACATGTTAAAATAAAAATAGTATGTAAATATAACGAATTCCTGCACGATTTCTAAAATTGTATGAACCACGGAACAAATTCGTGTGACAAAAATAACTGACAGTAAACATGATTAAGTTTTGCAACAAGGTTCTCAGATCTTTCATTTCGTCTTTTCACTCCTACTGAAATATTGTCATTTGTTCTTAAAAAAGAAAGAGTATTCAGCAGAAAAAAGAACCTTTTCAACAAACTCATCTTTTTAAGTTTAAACTTATAGCTTTTAGTATCTTATATGAACTTAAAAACGAACAAGCTAATAAAACAACTCAATTTAAACATGCCGATTGTTAGTAATGTTAATGAGTAAGCGGGCTAGGTTAATTTTCAGACGGTAAATCCATCTAATTGCACAACTGCAGGATCAATATGGTTTACCTCTGTCGTTTCACCTGAATCTTTAATAGTTTTTTCTTTTTCCAATTTAGTTTCTCGCACACGTTCAAATTCCATGACGGTTGGTTCACCAATCTAATTGAAAATTTTATGAACTCATTTGGAGAAAGAGAGCAATTATGACAAAGAAATATGTTAATAAAGAAACATCAATAAAAGGCAAGAAAGTAATAACGGGAGAAAAAAAGTTTAGACTTCATGTTTGATATTAAAAACAGATGGTTCTTCACTAATGTAACATGATTACTGCTGTTGCGAAGTCGAACTTTGAATTTTATACTAATATTGAACTACGACTCACAAGAAGAAGATACAGGTTGTTTTAGACAAGAGCACATTTATTTACATGACGAGGACATTTTACATAGGAAGAAACATAGAAAGAATAACTATTTTAGACATCGTTTTTCTTGTTAACTTATCGATTGTTTGTTCTATAATATTTTATATTTTGTTGCCATTCCATTACAACTAAACTATTTCCCGCTTTCCAATATTATCTATGCGACCCGCAACATCCTCCCCACCTACAAATAAATTTTAAACTTTTAATTAATTCCTTTTTTTTTTTTTTTTTTTTTTTTTTTTTTCTTNTGTTTTAGACAAGAGCACATTTATTTACATGACGAGGACATTTTACATAGGAAGAAACATAGAAAAAATAGTTATTCTTTCTATGTTTCTTCCTAAGTAAAATGTCCTCGTCATGTAAATAAATGTGCTCTTGTCTAAAACAACCTGTATCTTCTTCTTGTGAGTCGTAGTTCAATATTAGTATAAAATTCAAAGTTCGACTTCGCAACATTAAGTGGCGTCCTCTTAGGAAGAAACATAGAAAGAATAACTATTTCAGACATCGTTTTTCTTGTTAACTTATCGATTGTTTGTTCTATATATTTTTATATTTTGTTGCCATTCCATTACAACTAAACTATTTCCCGCTTTCCAATATTATCTATGCGACCCGCAACAACTGCTATTTACAATTAAAAAAAGCAACAAGCTCCAGTGATGGTATTGTATAGTTGCCAACTTTTGCTCTTTCAGAGAAGAATTTTTTTGATAATGGGAGTGAAAAAAATAATTAGATTAACAGTTGTAAGCAGAAATTGTTTTAATTACGCTATCACTTAAAATTCTGCCAAAATGATTAGTATTTCTACTCAGGATCTAATTAAGACATGGTCAGAAATATTTTAGTTTTTCCTTTTAAATTATTTTTTTTTCAATTTTATACTTTTTATTAATGATCTCACAATTTTAATTTTATATCTTTTATTAATATTCTTACTATTTTAATTTTACACTTTTATTAATGTTGTGCCTTGTTGATTTTAAACTTATATAATACTCTAAAATTTTATCGAAAAAGACCATTCAAATTAATGTTTATTTTTGTTATGAAAAAATCTCAGCAATATGTTTCGATTCAACCAAAAATCTAAGGCTGCAGTCACACCGGTGAGCCTATATTCGATTCATATTGCATGCAACACGTGGATGGACGTGATGCATCAGCTAGATTATCAAAGTCAAAAACGTTGGTGGCTAATCAGACTTATTTAAAATTTGATCGATGCATCATCAAGATACATCATGTGTTTACTACAAACTTTAATATGCACACTTGTGTAGACAATGTGAAATTACAATATAAGAAATACAACATTTATAGTTAGTGAAAATGTTAAGGTTTCTTAAAACAGTTATTCTGCCCAGGGTCGAAACTTCTCTCAATCGGGCCTAGGGGGATTTAGTGATTCACGAAGTGGCCACAAAAAACCGTAAACTCGTTTAGCGGATCGGCTGCCCACCTGCGGTGACCAAACCTTCATACGTTGAGCTGCAGTGGCTCATGAGATAGAGCATTTGCCTCCCAATGAAGTGCCCAAAGTTTGAATCCCAGCTCTAGCTCTCAGCAAAAACAGCGTTAAAGTATAATATGCTCAGTGGTAGACGAATCCTAAATTAGAATCACCTTGCCGTCGAGATATCTGTAAAAGAGTTTTGTTTTTTACCTCTCTATGTAACGCATATGTGGGTTAGTTTCATCAAAAGGTCCTTCATGAAGGATAGTTTGCATCAATGTTTGATCTAGGAGTTCCCTTGCCTTCTCAGTTGGGTACAAAATTACAAAACTGCGGAGGTGAACATAAACTCAGAATTGGTTTAGTCGCTCAGCGTCGGTCGTAAATAAAATAGAAACCTCATGTGATGATAGAGCTTTCACCTCCCAATGAGGTGACCGAAGTTCGAATCTCAGCAGTGCCTGGTTGATAGGAATTCTACACCCGGGTCGCACCAGCCACAGTACGTAAAATAAATATCTTCAGAGGAAGACAGACGGATTATGGGGTTTTCCTCTCCATGCAACTCAAATACGAAATAGTTTTATCATAAAGTCTTCAACGCTAGTTAGTTTGTCCCAATACTTTATAGACGAGTTCCCTTGTCCAACGGAATCAGTTCAAAATTACATGGCTACGGAGTTGAACATTGATAGTCATGAACCCAAAAAGTGGATCGACTGTGCTCAACACCGTATAAACTTAAATTAAATAAATAAACAAATAAATGAAACTTTAATACGATGCTAAAGTGAACCACTTTTTGTTAAATTTGTAAAACAGCATTGTGAAATCAAGTTAAATATGGATTTATCTGCTTGATAATATGATCTAACTTGATCACTATATTAGTGTTACTGCGAATTTGAACAACATTGTGGTTCAACATGATCTAAAATTTTTAAGAATGCAATTTTTAACAATTTTGACAATTAATTAAGATAAAAATATGTCGTATTGGTCAATATAATTTTAAATCAATTTGATTAAACTAAGAACCAAATATTAAAGCATAAATTTTTTCTATCCCTATAAATATAAAGAAAATATTTCAAGGAGTAGGTGTAGCTGTGGTATTGGGCATCTTGTACTTTAAAATATTTAAGAGCAGCAGTTTTGCATTTTTTGAAGCAGCAACAGTATGCTTTCAATACTTTAAATCGGTTCAACAACGTTGAACATTGATACGGTGGAATTTTCTGCAACCTTTATAAGGAATTGAATTGAACCATGTTTCCATTCAGCACGAATCTTAGCATCGGTATGAGATTACTAGCTTTAAGAAGAACGATTATATGATTCAAATTAATTGATTAAAGTTACAGCAAATTTGAACAATATTATGATTTAAAATGCTACAAAATTTCCATCCCTATAAAATTTTAATTTTAGAGAAGTTAAGAACATTAATAAATCTACCTATTTGAATAGGTTTGTAGAAAATGTCTATTTTCAAAAATATTTAGTAAATTTTATAGTAGATTTCCTTGAAGCAGCAATCACTGCATCTCATTTTAATAAACAGTACAAAAAATTGAAAAATAGTACCAAAATAATTTATATTGCCGTTAAACTTTTCAAATTTTGATTTTTATGAATTATTAACTATTAATTTTCTCATGATAACTTATTTTAAAAAAAAATTATTATCCTTATTTAAAAACAATGTTGAACATTCCTTTGAACAATTTACAAATGAATTTAAGTGGAACACCGAATTCGCATAGAATTTCAAAAAAATGTTCTTCAAATCTTCACAATATAAAGGTATGAATCTGTGCCAACAAAGAATGCTATAAAGTTGTTTAAGATGATCATCCTTGAGCAAGGTAGTCAGCATTTTTTTATGTTTTTTTTTTTAAGCAGCCTCATAGTCTAGCTACGAGAATCTATGCCAACATCAGAAAGAAACATCCTTCAGCAAGGTAGATGGCATTACTTTCTCAAATTAGTCAGGTCAATTAACATAATTATTAGCATAAGTTGTACCCTTCAAATGTGATGATTTGAACTGAGAGAACTATCGATTATTTTAAACATAGTGATAATGATATCCTTAAACGTATTATAGTTATCTGTCTTAGTTATCATCTCTCAAGATAAATAACGGACAGCGATAATATGGTGATCATTATCAATGAGGAAAATTATTGAATAAGAGATAATCGTATACGGAGAAAAAAATCTGGTAAAATAACAGTACTTCATGTCAATAATATAACATTTCAGGTTAAGAAAACATAACTCCCCTAGATAAAACTAAGATATACGGTGTTTTAACCATTCATTTGGTAAGTTTTCGCTCATATGGTAACGGTTTACCGAAGATTCTAGTTTTGAAAGCTATAGTTCTAATTACCACACATTTAGTTAAAAATACTGAACTGAAAAGTAAATTTTGCCTAATAAAGGTTTTTTTTTGCCGTTCTCTAAAGTATCATGATAAAATTACGAAATTTTACCGCATTTACCAAATTCTATCATAAATATTAAAACTATATATATTTTTTTAATTTCATCGAAATCATTACCAAAGCGTTTTGATAACAAGAACCAATCCTTTCGGTTTTTCCATACAGCTAGAAACACGGTAAATTTTACCATATTCTGGTATTTTTTACCATATTGTTTTGTTAGTGTGAGTGTTGATAAATTGCATTTTAATAATGAAAATATTGATCTACTAAAAAATAATGTAAAATAGTTCAATTGAAAAAATGTAGCATCATACCGTTAAACACCGATATTTTCAGGCGATATATTGCGAAATTACAATTACAATTTAAGTTAAATTAGGGACAGTTAACAACTTAAAACCAGTTTCAATTCTAAAATACGCGAACATTCATCGAATAGAGCATAGTAAATATTGAAGAGTCCATTATCTTAAATTTTCAATTTTGCATTTTTCGTATTGTTTACATGTTGTAAATATTTTAATGTAATAAATATCCATACATATCAAAATTTTTTGACTCTTAAACATATTGATGACAAGTATTGTCATTGACAAAATTTAAAAGAAAATAATTCTGAAAAGTAATTTATTTCAAATTTATGGCTGAAAAAAATTTCTATTCATAATTTCTTCGAACCCTTCCTAATCCTACACAATTATTGTGAAATCTATTTAACTTAGAAAAGGAGATGAGTCGTTGTATACTTTTTTTATTTCTTTCATCATTGTATTCATAATACCAATCAAAATTATTATATCAATTTCAAAGTTATAGTTATACCAATGAAAATTATTATATAAATTTAATTACTTTTTCAACAAGACTTTAAAGCTTTATTTAGAATTGAAATGAAATTATTTGCTATAATAAACATCAATTTGTTACGCAAACTTAATATTAAATGGATTTTTTAGCATGGCAGTTATCATGAAGTATTTCTTAAAATTTCGATATATAAGAATTATCTAAGCAATTTGAAAACTAAACATTATATTTATTTCAACATTTTAAAATTTGTTTGCCATAAATAAGAAATAAATATGTTGCCTTTCGAAAACTAAACAAAAATTCAATAAAAAAATTTAAAAAAATTAATTTATTGATTTATTTTGCCAATTAACGAATAAGATAAACGGAATCTCAGTTTACCAAGGTTTCGGTCGCTTTTGCTATATAGGATGAATCTGGTTTTTGATAATAGAGATCAACTTAGAGAGGTGATCAATTTACCACAAGATCAATTTACCAATCAATTTACCTACCGTCAAGAAGGCCAACTTGACGTTGCCTTGTTTTCATAATAGAGCGACATTTTAACAGATAGCCAGAAAATCATTCTAAGGGATGGTGATAGCCTTTGTTTTATTTTTCAGGAATGTTGAACACTGAATAATTTTAAATAACATTGTTAGAGCCGTGGTGGCTTAGGGCAGTGTTTCCCAAAGTGTGGTACGCGTACCCCCAGGGGTACGGGAACAGTTTAGAGGGGGTACGCGTTCGTATGCGAAATATCTTGGAACAGACGAAATTTTCAAAAAATTTCATTTAAAAACAAAGCTAGCCAGGAAAATTTACGATTACATATTTTTATATTGCCTATTTTTTGCAGCGTTAACAGTTAATAATTAGTGGTGTCAACAGCCAGTTGTGATTTTTAACTTTTGTGCAATTTTTTTATAGTAAAANATTTACCAAGAAGGCCAACTTGACAAGTTTTGTAATAAATTACACAAAGAGATGATGTGTCATTGCGTTGTCCTTAGAAGTTGCCTTGTTTTTATAATAGCGCGACATTTTAACAGATACCCAGAAAATCATTCTAAGGGATGGTGATAGCCTTGTTTTATTTTTCAGGAATGTTGAACACTGAATAATTTTAAATAACATTGTTAGAGCCGTGGTGGCTAAGGGGATAGAGCGCTCACCTCCGTATGAGGTGAACTGAGTTCGAATCACAGCGATGGTTGGTCAATATAAATCCCTCACCCGGCTCGCACCGACCACAGTGCTGACGTAAAATATCCTCAGACAGATCACATGGTTGACGGATCACAAGTTAGAGTCCTCTTGCTGTCAGGCAAACAGTGGGAGGTTTTCCTCTCCATGTAAAGCAAATACTAGTTAGTTCCATTAGAAAGTCCTCAAGAAAGGCAAATTTCTCTCTATACTTGATCCAGAAGTTCCTTTGTTTTCTGGATTGGGTTCACAATTACAAGGTTACGGAGTTGAACATTGATAGTCGTAAGCCCGAAATTGGGTCGGTTGTTCAATGGCGGTTATATAATAAAATAAAATAATTTCTAAATATTAGTAAATGATGATCATATTATTTAACTATCAATATATTTTTTAAATTTTCCTGCAATATTTAGAAAGACTTTTTGTAATAGTTAGAAAATTCGGCAATAAACTCGTTTCTAACGTTTCATCAGTATTTGATTATTATTTTCAAATCAGAGGTGTAAAATCGGTATAAATAACATTTAATGTCATTTTCTCAATTCGCATTATCAAAAATCAAATTAAGTTCAATATGCAAAGAGATATCTCATTCTTAATCAACTGAGCAAACTTAATCAGCTAATGCCGCTTGTAAAATGCATCAACAAGTTAGTTCATTTTCGAATTCGTTATTTTTAATTTCTTATCGACTAGACAGGCTTTCAAGTTAATTTCCCTCAGGACTAAGATCACGAAGAGAACCGACCTACTGAAAGTACATTCAGTATAACCACTGAAAACGTTACTTTTTAATAACATAAGTTCAGATTTCGCATTAAAAAAAAATTCCGCACTGTTACATCAAATCCAGTGTTAAGTAATAATGTTTTTTTTACGCTATATTGTGCTGTAAATCTTCTCACCTGTGTAATCCTCACGAGTCAAACAATATGTTCTTACAACATTCTTAAAACTTTATATTGAATGGTTACTTCGTGAAGAAAATATCAATGACCTCATCTCAATCCGGCTGATACTGTTTTTCTTGACACTAACTTATGTGGTTTTTCTTTCCACTCAATGCAAATGAGGTTAGTTTCCCTTAATGTTCTCCACAAAATTGAATTCTTATCTGATACTTAACTCAGGAGTTCTCGTCTTCTGAGTTGGCATCAAAAATCGAAGTTAAGCCTTAAAAAATCATAAATCTACTATGTAGAAGGCTTTCAAGATTAAGTAATATTAAAAGGATAGATTGCGCCAATGAATTGCTCATTATAAATTTAACTGATTAATCAGATTCATGATTAAATTTTACAGCTTTAGATATTTAGGTTTTTTTTATTTTATTTAGCGGCGTAAAATGATCCGAATTTTTATAACGATTTAAGTCTAACTAACATAATAGCCCCCATTATTCTCATCAAGCAACATTGGTGCGGTTCTCACCCTTTTTCATTTTTTTTAAAATTTTTAAATGGCGCACTAAGAAAAAATAAATAGTCAAAACAACCGGAATTTTTTAAAATTTACCGTGTATGTCTTTATGATCTCGTTTTACCGAAGCGCTTTTGTAATGGTTATGGCAAAATAGTGCTTTATATGTGATAAAATTTGGAAAATGTGGTAAAATTTGATAATTTAATCATGATACCTTAGAGTTACTACATGACATAAAAGCCATTTATTCGATTAAATTTAATACGGACTCTAATTTTGAATACCAGAATTTCCGATAAATTATTACCATATGAGAAAAAAATTACCAAATTAATGAATAAAATCCCGTATATTTTGATTTTTATTGTACACAATCATGGTTATTTTTTAACAAGAAGTGCCATTTCCATATAGTACCTACTGTTACTTTATCAGATTTTTTTTACATGCGTGAAAACTTCCTTTCCTAGTATAATTTCCTACGCATTTGGTAAATTTTAGACTCGTGTTTGAAAATTTACGTAACAAAATGAATCCATTTCTGTCCATATATGTTTATCGCTTTCTATCAGAAGCATTGTCTTTTTCTTTTAAATACAGTAATACTGATCAACTATTTTTTTTTTTTTTAAATTTTTAGTTATTTTTTTAAAATTTTCTCCTGACTTCTTGAACTTTCCTTTTGACTTTCGTCCCAATCTCATTTTTATTTCTGACTTAAATAATCCATTTGCATATTCAAAGGATTATTACAGATCTGGTTTTTAGTGCAAAAATTTGTAGCAGTTTTCTAAACAAAAAAGTAACTTTTTTTAATTTATGGTTTAAAATCGATCAATACCATCACAAATTAGACTCACGACAAGGACGGTGTGCTGGTACTTTTTGCCGTAAAATCCTTTTCAACAGACACATTTAAAAATACAACAAATCTGATACACCGCGATTTTTACAGTAATAATTACCGTAAAATCACTGAATCACTCTAATTAAATGAATGTTACTTTAAAGAATTATGGGATAATATTTTGCGATAAAATAGATTTTATGGCTGAGGCACCCAAAGTATCGGCACTTTATACCGTAATTTGAACCGGAATTTCTTACAGTGAGTGATTTTAAATTACACATTCCGACCTTACGATAATGTTATTCTGGATCATCAATATCATCATTATTTTGAATTAAAATTATCCCCTCTGTAAAAAAATAAAAATACTACTGGAAAAAAAATCTTTTAACTTGTTATGCTTTTATTCATTTTTGAACTGATAAAAATTTTGCATCTAATTACTAAATAATGAACGAATAATCTAGAGAATAGCTTTCAGATGTTAGCATTTCTTCAGAAGTTTTTTTTTTTAATATTTAGCTTTTTGAAACAAGAATATTTATTTTCCCACAACCTTTTATTATTTTTCCCCCGGCTTTTCTTTCTGCAGTTCTGATGAAAGGTCTAAAAATGACTCATATGCTTGTTTTCCAATCTTTCCTCGAACTTATCTTAGGCCCGATACTATATTATTCGATTGGTCATTCTCCCTATAAAGGTCAAATGATGTTTGCCTTCTCGAATAGCAAGATAATGTCAACAGGGTGAAAGGCATCAGTGGGTAACATTTAACATTGATTACCAGATGTTGAGGAAGGAATTCGGTTTTTGTTTAACATGAGTAGCTCATGATTATTTGAGCAATGACAGATATAAGATAACAGATATCACGCGCAAAGAAGTGCATTATTTGAATTTGCTCCGTCTGAGAAGATAATCTCTTAAATAGAGAATAATAAAAGTTGAGACGCCTGACAACTGAAAGTAAAAAAATAAAAATTATATTTTTGATGTATTGGAATAAATCGAAAAATACAAATGTGCTTTAAAATTTTTTATTAGGTATAGGGAATAACTTTTATGTATTTTTAGTAGATTTAGATGTGTTTCTCGTAAAAGCAAAATTAATGCTAGGACGTTTTATTTTTAGTTTAATAAACGTGTTTTTCAAAATTATTTTGAAAAATTGTAAAAATTCTGCAGTGGTTTTATTTTTTAAATGTTATTACGATTTCTATAATTACTGGGCAAATATTTTAACCATTTTGTATAATAATTTAACACTAACGTAAAAATATTTATTCTTAAATATTTATTTATTTATAAGCTTGTTCAAATTAAAAAAGCTTTAAACTATAACCAATTGAAATTTTTTGATAAAATTAAACGGGTTTTGAGAGTCCAAGTTTGTTTACAATCTCAAGATTATAACAATAAATAAACTTTGTTGAAACATTTGTTGAAACCTTCAAAAAAATTAATAGATACAAGCAAATTACTTACATCTTTGTCTTTTTCATCTTTTTCCTCTAGTTTAATAGTCTCCACTTTGATTGGTTCTGTGTCATTTTCAGCAATTTTATTTGGCAGCTAAATATAAATAACAGAATTTCATTCATATAAATTTAAAGCAATAGAGAAATCAAAAGAATTATGGAAAACAAAGAAAGGATTATTACAGGTTACTAAAATTTATTTGAAACACAAAATATTGTACTGAGTGTAATTTCTGACCTTAAAGCAAAAATTATTCTTATTTAATTTATATTATAATTTATAAATTTAAAAAAACATAATAAGTGTCTTAAATATATATTTCGTAGCATATGTTTAGTAAAGTTTTCTTTAAATTCTTTAGCCCAAAGAACAACTGAAAGGTAAAAAGAAACGTACGGGGGTTTTATGCATACTATGCACATTACTACAGATTACGTAGTATTTTGTAAAAAATTATAATCTCTTAAAACACTGTCAACATACATCTGTTTTATATTAGGACTTTAAAATAAAATAAATACAACAGATTTCTAAAATATATTTTTCATAGCATATGTTTAATAAAATTTTCAGTAAATTCTTAGCCCTAAAAATTGAAAAGGAAAATGACACATACGTGGTTTATGATATTCTCTGTAATTTTTTGCAGTTTACGTATTATTCTATAAAAAAGTTATAACTACTAAAACCAACGTTAACATAATGTCTCGCTATTGATTCTCAAATATAAAATTTGAAATGAATTCGTTTACAAGTTTGGAAAGGACATTATAAACGATTTCAGAAAGAGAGAGGATTCGTCTTTCGCAATACTTAAATGAATGAACAAAACATTTTATTTTATAAAATTTTCTAAACTTTTTATTCTTCAGTTTTATAAATTGCATTTTTTTTTTTAAAAAAAAAAGCTGTATTGCGGTTAAAAAAATTCTAACTTCGATTTCTTAGGACAGTATAGTAGAAAACACATTATGAAAACACATATTGAAGAAGGCAAGATCATTGACCTAAGGATTGTTCGGATAAGGATATAAATAACTCGTAAATATAAATTTGTTGTTTTTCAATGATTTTTCTAATCCCTAACCCCATAATTTGTCAACAGATGAAATGTTTTGGAAAGAGAAAATTAATACATTAAATCGATAAAATAGATTTTGCTTTTAAACATTTCAGTAATTAATAAATTGAATATTATATTGTAAAATGTAAACTTAAATTTAAAAATATTCTTAAAAAATGAGTTTGACGAATTATTTTAGGTTTCGCAAGTATATGAGGCCCAATTCTAAAGTAATCATACGTCCTCAAATCTTGAATGCAGTCCTAGAATTTTAATAATTGCTGATAAAAACTTTCAAATTTGTTCTGGCGTGTATTCGTTCAATTCTAGCTTTCGTATTTCTACAAGTTTCTACAGAGTATAATTTGAAAGAAATTTCTCCTTCGTGCACAATTTTCTCAGCTATACGATGCATCTGAAATTCTCAGTCAAGTAATTCGCACGCTATGCAGAAAAGTTAATCATAGCATGCTTTGCTAGTACATTGTATGCTATCCTATCCCCTAAATTGTCTCGATGGGTTTATTGTGATTCCGCAGAAAACATACATTAAGCAACAAGAATTACGGACAATTCAACTGTCCCTGATTTTTAATTTGTAACTTTACTTAAACGATAAGATGGCGTCGAGATAAAAAAAAATTCAAAAAATAAACAAACAAATAAAAATGCTAACTAATTTTACTGTTATGACTCAAACGTTCAAGGGTATTACAATTATATTTAATAAAGTGTAAAAACATCTTTATCCAGCTAAAACTATTTTATCTTGTTAGTTTTATAAATACTAATTTAACTTCCACTCGCACAAACGTTCTACAACATTCACTTCTAATTAAGTCTCTAAATGCCAACTGAGTGGGCTCTCCCAAATATGAAGATTTTCAAATGATTACTAATTATTAAAGAGACTGGGATATTTTTCAAGGCTAATGATCAGACACTCAGCGCAAAATTCTCTTTATTACTCCACATCTGCGCTATTTAAATAGAGTGAAAAGAGTTTTTTTTAAACTAGGTAATATAAAAATAATACAAAAAGAGAACAAAAGAGAAAAAAAAAAAACATAACATACATCTTCAGTGGACGGAACATCGCCAGCTGTTTTGTCATTTTCCTCTCTGGCTTCAGGTGCAGCTTCTGAAAATAGAACTCAAGTTAATATCTAGTTAAAATTAAACACACAATAAAATAAAATAGTTTTAGATTCGATTAAATAATACTGTAAAAATTGTAAACATCACTGTAAAAATTATGGTATATCAGATTTTTTGTTACGTAAAATTTTACAGTAAAAATGGATTTTGTGGTAAAAGTACTGACACCCTGAATGCCAGCTCTTTTAACCGTGATTTGATTCAGAATTTTGCACAATGTATAAGAAAAGGTAACTTTATTCAGCTGAATTCCTATATGTCTAAGCCTGTGAAGAACATTTTCTAAAAATTGACAGTCCCAAAATTGTATATATTTTCTAGCAATAAGTAAACAATTTAAGGCATATAGAATTTTAGGCTGATAATTTAAATAAAAAATTACTACAATTCAATAAGAATTTTTATTGTTTCTTAAGCTTTTATAAAACAAATAGTGTTTGGTAAAAAAATGGATAAGTGATGCGAAAAAAAAAAAATTTCTGCAAAAAAAAAATTTTTAATACGAAAGTAAAAATTGAACATATAGGCAAACCCACTATAATTTGTCATAAAAACTTATTTCGAAAAAAATTTTTTAATACTTTCACAAGTTGAAAATATTTTTATGAATACTTAAATAAGTACATACAATTTTACAAACAAATGGGAATACTGAAAAAATTAAACAAAAAATATTTTTAAATTTGTAGATAGGACCAATCATCATGATTTAATCTTATGCAAACAACAACGCTTTATGGTGTTATAATTTCTACTCAGCTAAGTGTGTTAATTAGCAGGCAGATCATTTCTTTCATCAATTGATAAAAAAAAGAACAAAATTCATACTTTTGAGCCGTTTACCTAAACGGCAAGTCAATAGCCCATTTGAAAAGTTACAGCACCTGATATGGAACTGTACACTGAAATTATGTGAAAAAAATTAAGATCAATATTTTTTAAAAAAATCAAAGACCGTAAATAATAGTTAGAAAAAATCAAAACTTTCTCTTCATAAAAATTTAATTTTTCCACAAATTAACTTGAACCGACTGAGTAAAAATATTTAAGAAACGTAACTAAACTATGTATGAGTAAATACATAAATACAGCTTTAATTTAACTGGATGTGAAATAAAAAATAAACAAATGATATCTTTCATATTCTTATTAAACAAAATATCTTAGAAGTTATTAAAACACTCAGGGAACACCTGTGTTTTTCAAACACACGCATATACAAATACGAGTTTTTAAGAAGAAGAAGAAAAAAAACTTTCACTTCCACTTTCTTTCATACAAGCATAATATTTTTCAGCTTGAGGGTACGATGCTGAAAACAGCTGCCGCCATTCACGATGTATCTAATTTCAGTTTAGCATTCCCATCTTCTTAAATCACCAACTTGGCGACCTCACACTTTTTTTTTATATCGCTGACTTGGAACAAAACGTCTGTGAAATGTCACAACGATGTCCTTTGATGTATCCAGCTTATGCTATTTCTTCATTCATTATATCGCTTTTTTTATCATTTTATTTTGTTAAGGTTCGGGCTTGTTTACTCTAAAACCAGATGGCTGTTAAAAGGCAAATATATGATAAAAATGTTTAATAATAATAATTGGAAAAAAATAAATGGTTTAATGAATTATATGGTAAAATAAATACTGGTAAACTAAATGAATGTCTTAATTTCTGAAGATTTTACAGGTCAGTAAGACTGTAGAGACATGTTAATATTTTCGTTTCTTAATTTCTGAAGCTATTACAGGTCATTAAGGCTGTAGAGACTTGTTAATGTTTTTATTTCTTAACTTCTGAAGCTGTTACTGGTTAGTTAGACCATAGAGAAATATTATCGTTTCTATTTCTTGATTATCTGAAACTGTTACAGGTCACTAAGACTGTAGAGGCATATTAATGTTTCCATTTCTTAACTTCTGAAGCTGTCACTGGTCAGTTAGACGGTAGAGAAATATTAATTTTTCCATTTCTTAATTTCTGAAGCTGTGTCAGGTCAGTAAGACAGAGGCATGTTAATGTTTCCATTTCTTAACTTCTGAAGCTGTTACTGGTCAGTTAGACCATAGAGTAATATTAATGTTTTTATTTCTAAATTTCTGAAGCCATTAGCCTATAAGATTGTAAAGATATAATATAATGTTTTAATTTCTTAATTTAAAGAGCTATTACAGGTCAGTAAGACTCTACTTATTATTATTCTCATGTTTTAATTTATGAAGCTATTACCTCTCAGTAAGAATGTAAAGATATATTATAATGTCTTCATTTCTTAATATCTAAATCTCTTACAGATCAGTTAAACTGTAGAGACATATCAATTTTTCCTTTTTTTTTCATTTCTGAAGCTGTTACTGGTCATTAAGATTGAAGAAACATCTTACTTTTTTTCATTTCCTAATTTCTGAAGCTATTACAGGTCAGTAAGACAGTAAAGACATGTGATAGGGCAACGACGAAATGCAATAGCAGAATTTTGCTTTCAAGAGCACTGTAAAAAATGAATTCTCTAAACTCACAAAATGCTCTTCGTTATTGGGGGACTGTTTCCATGGAAAATATCCAAGCGAGAATATCGCTTAAGTGAGGAAATTACTATTACTCCTTGTTTGATACAATAATACTTAAAATAATTTAGCTTAATTAAACATAACGGCTTAAGACCTTATGATTGGGATATAAAACATGTAACGATGGTAACATGAATGAATAGGCAATCAAATTGCGAGGAATTGGGGAAACCCGCTTGATTACCGAGAGCACCTACAGTATCACGATATTCAGTACAAACGGTATTAAAATTCGATTAAAATTGCTGGAGAATTCTTTAAATGCATTGAAATGACACTCCAGTGAGGAAGCAATTCAGTCCTATATCAGAGAGTTGAAAAAAGATCACGCAATACCGTGATGAAATGACAAAATAAAATAAAAATTACTGATTACTTTTTTGGTAATTTTAACAACGAAATGCATAATTTTTCTGCTAAATTTAGCATTCTTCATTGGTAAGGATCGCAGTTTCTTAATAAAAAGATTTTAGTAAAATATAATAATGAGACAAAACTTAACTAAAACAATATTATTCCAAAGAGTAAAAATTAAATAATTACTACACTGCACTGTTAAAAATGTTTGATCAGATGAAGGTACTGGCACTCAAGGTGACGGTACTTTTTGCCACAAAATCCATTTTTATCGTGAAATTTTACGGAACAAAAAATCTAATATAACGTAATTTTTACAGTAATAATTTCTGTCAATGAATCACAGTACTTAAATATATAATGTAAGAATTACGATATAAAATTTTACGGTAAAAATGGATTTTGCGGATGATACAACCAGGGTGCCAGTAATTTTTATCTTAATTTAATTTGGAATTTTTTTAAACTGTAATAACATAGAAAATCAAATCAATATTATAACAATGTGCTTGTTTTTCTTCAAAAATTTTTTCCGTTAATTTAATTTTTTAAGAAGAAAATATTTTTGTAAAATGAAATCAAAAGGCAAATTAATCAAGTAGTTAATATGAAGCTACAATTTCTTCAAAGTATTTTGGTAGTTAATTCCGCAAATAAAACTAAGTGGAATATTGTAATCAATAATAGAAGGTTTTCAGGTAAATCTCATAACTAGTAGTATAGCAGGTAAAATTATCCTTATTTTATATTAAGGTCATAGTAGAAAAATGTTTCCGTTCAAAATTAACCGTAATATAAATTTTGAGCCGATTAAACTTTACATGAAAGTGGCAACTTATTTAAATTTTATCCATGATGTAGTTATTTTTCATTCAACTTTAGTGCACTGTACAATAAGGCGCATATTTATCCTGTATCACATACATTCCCTATCTCTTTTACAGAAATATAAATCTTGATCTAAAATTAAAATCGAATTTCACTTTCGAAGAAAATTTAATTTATATAAAAATGTATAAAGAACTCATTCATTTCTGTAACTTAAAAAAATACTATTATTATAGCCAAAAATAAATGCTGAAAATAAGGTTTAATTTTGTGACAATTTTCCAAAAGAAATATCAGTTAAATAAAATACAATGAAAATTCATATTTGTAGCATTTTTTGTTGCTACCTTTAATAACCAAAATACAATTATTTCAAATGAACATACAAAAAAATAAATATATAAAAAATAAAATCGATTTAGACAAAATACATAAAAATAATCATTGAGAGGCATAAGTTTTCTGACATTTATCGTTTTTCGGGCAAAGAGCATTTATTGATCAAATGCTATTTATATCGACGGGAAGATATGAATAAAACAGTAATGGGGATAAACAAAAAGAAGCTGTTTGAAAAATAATACCTCGTTTTCTAATTACAAAAAGAACTTTAAATGATTACTACTTTTAATGTTTAAAAAAATGCTCATTTAACTTACTATGTAAGGAACATGAGAGCTATTTACATTCATAAAAGTTGATGGAACTTGCAAATTTCATTATGAAGCGAAATACATTTATTCCAGGAGAATAATGTTTATCTGGGAGAAATAATTGTAAAATATTAGAGTGCTCGGAGAGTAATTTCATTTTTTCCCAATCGACGATTTATTTGTATTTTTTGACAGTCAACTTCACACTTAATTCGCATAAGCATTATTTATTTTGACAGCTGATATAAAACTTGCTGGTGAAAATTTTTGATTGCTAAAGTTTTTAGTTAATTTCGAGCAATTTTGATGTTAAAGATGCACTATATTCTGGAAGGCCTATTGAAGATGATTAAGACACAAATCTCAAAGCTTGACTTATAGGTTCCTAATGTTTTACAGAAAGAAACTTATGCCGTTGCTTTGACGCTTAGGACTTACAGAACATTGCATCTCAAACGTCAAGAAAAATATGCATTTTTGAAACGTATCATCACTGAGGATGAAAAATTGATTCTCTACAACAATGTTCTAGTCTCGACGAAATGTTTTAGCAGGTAAAACTTTTACTTCAAA